TCCTGCTAACTTCTCACCCCACATCCACATCTGATGCTGCTGCCGCCTCCCCTACTTCCAGCTCTCCAGCCCCAACAGCTTCTTCTGGTTACAGGAGCAGCTGCCTTACCTGCTGCCCCCGCACCGTCCCGCCCCTTCAGCCTGGGACAGGCCACCACTCCTTCACCCTTTTCCCACTCGCTGCCTAGTTGACATCTACTCATCCCTCAGGCTATCCTCCAAGTGCTGGTCATGTTCCCCTGTCTATGCTGCCAGAATATCTTGTACTTAATCTTCATGGCGGGTCTAATGGGGGAAGGAACCCCCATTAGAGTCTGTTTGTCTGTTTCTTAGCATTTTACTTCCAGGATCTAGCATCCATGCCTTGGATGGCATGGATGTTTTAATTTCCTGTACTCAGATGTTAGGGTCATAATGTCAATTTTCTTATGCCAAACCCTAGTGTAGGATGATGCAGCCATTGGTACTTTATACTGTTGGCTTTTGTTCATAGAAAACTGTCTTGGGTTTTAGATCTATTTGACTTATAGTTTGAATAACTAGGTTAGCCCCCCCCCCCCCGATTTAATACTTAATGCAGTGAGACTTGGGATCTAAGAGACAGTTTTCCTAATGATCTTACTGGGTCACCATGTTCCTTAGTGTGGAGTGTGTGTCTGTGCTTGACTCTTTCCCAGAAGTGTCCTTGGAGCGGAGGTGTCCAAGCATTCTCAAGGCGAACACTATTCCAGTATATACACATAAATGTTGTTATATCTGTGCTCCTCTAAGTAAATCCTGTGAAAACGTGTGACCCTTTTATAATTTGTACACATCCTAAGTGGACCTGTTTTTCTTCTAAGTTCATGTAATAGTCCTTTCAGCTTCAGTGGGAATATTTGTGATATAAAATGCTTATTTCCCAGGGACCATTTTAAAACTCTAAGTTGTGTTTTTCATCAGTAATTACCCACCACCACTGTCTTTTTTTTTTTTTTAACAAATCATCTTGTAATTTATCAAATAAGATGCATAGGCTCAGGATTTAAACATCTAAAGTTGGTTGGTAAGTCAGGGCGTGTTTTTCTCTGATCTGCATTTCTCTGATATCTTTCTCTACCTTTCATTCTATCTCTTTTCCTTCAGACATAAATGAGATTATTTTTAGTGTTAGGGGCTCTCTTGGCACAGAAGGGTAGAGACTGTGTTTTGTCTTGGCTGACTAAAGCCTATGGCTCGACCCTTAATTTTTACTGAACATTTGTCAAGTGCACCTGTAAGCAAGTCTACGTGGTATTTGTGAATCCAAGTGTAACTGCATGAGGTGAGGCCCCAGACTCAATGAATTAAGAGTGCTTCAGGCCTTGTCACCACCAGGCATCATTCTCAGTCCTCACATATGCCACCTGGGGTCAGGCCAGAAGGAAACAGAGCTTGTGTGTGGCGATGTGTATTCTCTGTTTGCTTAACCTTTGATGTGGGGAGCAAGGACACCGGGGGAGGCCAGTGACTGTGGCACTCCTAGGAGCAGAACAGAGATTGTCTTGGCACCAAGTCTGTTGAGCTGAAGAATCCACATGTGTTTAGCTGCCTGGGCAGGGCACAGCCTTTAAAGCTCACAGAGAGGGGCAAGGTATTATCTCTTGTTACAGTAAGGTGTTTTTTAAATTTTTGTTTTGTTTTCTCCATCAGATGTCAGAATTGCCAAGTGTGTTCTGTTGGCTGTCTCTCGGCATAATCCAGACGGTTCTCTAGTTTCACAGAACCAGACCAAATGAAACACACAGGCATATGGGGGCCGGGGAAGGTGGGAGGGGTCCTTATTGTCTACAGTTGTGCTTTCCTGAAATAGCTTTAAGTAAACCAAATTTTATAAGATTATCTCATTTTAATCTTCATCATGCCTTCATTCTTTAAGGGAGACTCTTTATAATGTGGACAGTCCTTGCAGCAATAATGCATAGCATCCTCCAAAGCAATTTTTAAAAAATCTTGATATGTTAAATTTTCTTAAATGAAGACAAGCGCTTGGGTCCCCTAAAGACCAGTTCAGCATTTACTTTTGGCCCACAGAGCTAGTTCTTCCATGGGGAGCTGGACTCTGGAGCCAGATGGGCTGAGTTGGAATCCTGGCTCTGCTACCAGGACAGTACTTTGCTGTCTCTGCCTCAGTTTCCTCTTTGGTAAACAGGATACTGGTGATAACTTCTTTATAGAGTTGCTATGAGGATTAAGTGAATAGTACATGTAACTGCTGGATCACTGCCTGGACTACATACGTAAGGTGCTTAATAAGTATCTGCCTCAGTATATGATGTTTCGCAGTAGTATTTTGTTCCCTTGAGAGAGAGTGGGTGGTGGTGCTAAAGACTTGCCCTGGTCATAGAAACTTTTACATAGTTAGTATAAAGCTATCAAGTAAAAAGATGAGGAAGTAATTTAATCTGGATGAGGATAGTAAAAAAAAATAGGAAACTTTATGCCAACCTTTTAAGTTCAAACTGACTGTAACAAAGTTCCAAGTCCTAGTGGCTTTACAAAACACAAACATTTCTTTCTTGTGTGTCATTCAGATTGAAGTAGTCAGGTGGCCCTGCTGAGTAGTTAAGCTCAGTGTGGTGATTCAGGAGCCGAGCGCATTCTATCCCATGACTTCGCCTTATTAGAATTCTTCACTTCAGCTGTGGGAATGAGGAAGAGAGATGGAGGGAGGTAGAGAAGGAGTGGGAAGAGAGAGAGGGAAGGGGGATGGAAGGAGAGATGCTGAGAGAGAGAGAGAGACAGAGAGAGAGAGAGGGAGAATATGAATGAATAGAAGCTGAGGATCTTACGAAGGATTTTTGGGGACAAGCATGGAAGTGGCCAACACAGCATTTCTGTTCCCGTTCCATTGACCAGAACTAGTCACATGACTCTAGTCTTCCTGCCTGCGGTTCCTGGAAGGCATTTCTCCTGTGTGCCCTGTGATAGGAGGCAGGATAGATGAGTATTCAGCTAGCCTGTAGCACAGTGGTTAACCATATCACATATTTTCTGTAATGCCGATATTTTCCGTAATTGATCTGTTTGTATATTTCACTGTAAACCATTTCTGAAATTCTTTATAATGTCAAGACCAGCAAAAAAATTTACAAATCATTATGTTTCTTTTTTATTTTTGAAATTTGCAGAAAATCAGGAAAGCTGCTGATCTCTCCTTGTGAACATTTTATTGTGCTGTTAGCCAATAAGCAAGGACTCTAGGTGACAGTCTCTTAATGGCCATCTCTGACAGGCAGGTTCCTGTGAAGGAGAAAGTTTTTATGTTTTGTATCCTGCTGGTGATCAGTAACTGACAAAAGTAATGATCCTGTTATGCACTGAAGTTGCATGGGACAATCTAAGAGTAGTTTTGTTTTGTTTTGTTTATTGCTCTAGTAAATACGGCTCACTATTGTGACTAGTGTTTGTACTCAGCTCTGATGGGAAGGATGGTGGCCACTTCCTGTGTCTTATATCAAATAAAGTGACTTAATCCTGCAGCTTTATTAATAATATTTCACTTGAGCAGTTCTTTTCAATCATAATTGGCCTCTGCACAGACTGAGCAGTTTATTTCTAAGTGCAAACCTGGGGGATTTTATAGCTCATGGACACACCTTGAGGCCATGCTTAACTAAGCCTCTAGATTAATATATACCTCACATTTTGCAGTGTTTCATAGTTCTGTGAATTAATTTTGAATCCCATTTCTTCTGCCACGGTTCAGATGCTTTAACACAATTGGGAAGCAAAATAACGTTATGACGGATCATGTGGTCTGCAGCATCAGACTAGGGTGGAATCCCAGCTCTGTCACTCAGTCTCTCTGGGACCTTGGGTCTTTTATTGATTGCTGTGGTTCCTAGGAATTTCTAGTAACAAATACCAGACTGGTGGCTTAAACAACTGAAATTTATTTTCATACAGTTCTGGAGGCCAGAAGTCTCAGATCAAGGCACCGTGGAGTTGGTTCTTAATGAGGCCTGTCTCCTTGGCTTTTCGATGGCCACCTTTCCGTGTCTTCACAGAGTCTCCTCTCTGTACACTTAGCGTGTCAGCCACTGGACTTGAGTCAGGAGTGCTGCTAACCCCACTGACTCACACCTTTGTCCTCCAGGAGCTGAGCTGCCCAGTTTTTCTTTTGAAACGACTCTGGAATATGTGTCTTTTAATAAAAGTTAATAATGACAAGTATGAGGATTGTCACATATAAATACATGTGAATTTATATGAAGTAATTTTTGACTAAAATAATAGGTACATTCACTCTTATGATCATAAAGGCTGAAATATGTCTTATTAGGGATTGGTGGAACATGTTATTCTTCAGTTTAATGGTTACCTTTTGGTAACCATTGGTTACATTTTTCTGTACAACTTATTACCTTTCTTTTTTCATTTTCTATTTCTATTTCTATTTCTACTCCTTTCTTCTCTTCTCTTCCCTTTCTTTCTTTCTTTCTTTCTTTCTTTCTTTCTTTCTTTCTTTCTTTCTCTCTCTCTCTCTCTCTTTCTCCCCATGCCCAACGTGGGGCTGGAACTCTTGAGATCAAGAGTTACATGCTGTACCAACTGAGCCAACCAGATGCCCCCTATTTACCTTTCTTTTAAAAAAATCCTACAGTAATAACAAAGAATGCCCCTACCTGTCAGTCCCTCCCTATGCATTTCTCTTCCCTCACCAGTCTATATCTTCTAACACTAAATCATGACTTGGAAACCTAAATATATACAGTTTTTATTTATCAGTCATACCTCAATAAATCTGGGAAAAAATAAACTTGCTGTTACATTTTAAAAATAATACAGAGAATAATGCCACAGCATCTCTGACTGCTCTCTCTTCCCTCCCTTCTGGTCCTTCTATATTGTTGCTTTTCTCTTTTTTTGGTTCTTATGTGTCTCATTCCTGAAAGTATTCTGAAAATTTGCCTTTTTATTTTTTACTTGGTTTAATTTAGCTTTTAATTTTAGGTTTTCTTTTCTTTTTTTGGGGGCAGAAAAGAGCAAGTTAGTACCTTATATCTAAACATCAACCTTGTGGAGCCAAGACTAATTCAGCCATACGAACACGTTATAAGGAACTTTATCCGCGAGATCAAACTGCAGAGCACAGAAATGGAAAACCTGGCCATTGCGGTGAAGAGGTATTGAAGCCCTTCCTGTCTTTCTTCTTTTTTTTTTTTAGAGAGAGAGAGAATGTGAGTTGAGTGGGGGTGAGGGGAGGGACAGAGGGAGAGAGAATCTTAAGCAGGCTCATATGCGAGCCTGGAGTCCAGCACGGGGCTCGATCTGATGACCCTGAGATCATGACCTGAGCTGAAATCAAGAGTCGGATGCTTAACCAACTGAGCCACCTGGGTGCCCGAAGCCCTTCCTTTCTCAGTGGCATGTGGGGTCCTTTAACTGGCTCTGTGTCCAGGTGGCACATGGACTGAACTTCACGATCACGTTATGATGTGGATGGACTTCCCGAACCTCGGGCATCTGGAGCTTCCTAAACTGAACCAGCACGAAAAAAGCTGAGTCGGGCAGTACTCTGTAGGGGCAGCCAGCAGTCCCATCAGTAGGTCGCCGTGATCCTATCCTATAAACTTCTCAAGACCAGATTCCCTGCAGAACAGTTCAAAGAGGTTTGCTATCTTATATCCAGCCACTTGAAACATACAGGAAACTTCTTTTCCAGAGAGGCGGACAGGACTGTACTTGAAGGCTGGCCTTGTCACAGGTGTGTGACTTTGGGCAGGTTTCTGTATCTGCAGAACGTGACTGTAAATATTCACGTTCTCAGGGTGTGGAGATGATGTGCTGGGTGTAAACCCCTGCACCAGGTCAACCACATGGTGGGTGCTCAGTGGTGGGACTTCCTGTCTCTGGCCCTCCTCGCCCAGCTTGGACTGGAAGCCAAAAAGCTTGAAACCCGTGCTGTTATATGGTTTGTGTAAGCCACAGCTCGTTCACGTTGATATCTTACTGGCTTTACCAGCAGCCCAGTGCAGAGGAAGAATTTACATGTGTTGCAGTCCAAACATCAGCCTTTTTGCTCCCCAGAAGGACCACAGTCCTTTGGCATCAGTGGGAAAGAGAGCATTTTGTTTGCTGTAGTTCCCGGCTGTTCTGCCCCAAAGATGCTTCTCGCTGCCATCTGTTTCACCAGCATCTCTGAGTGTGTGGTGCATCCTGCTGGTCTCTACCCAGAACTTGTGAAGGCCCCTCTGATAGGATGCGCCCCATCGCCAAGGGGGCAGGAGAGGGTACTCCTCTGTCTCTTTATTCTTTCCTTCCAAATGATGATCAGACTGTCTAGTTAACCTTTTGGAGTTTGAGTGAAGGCAATTAAAATATAGGAGTGTTTTAAAACGATGCTACATAGGACTTTTTATAGTTCTGGAGTCATGCAAGAGTGGAGCTATTCACAGGGAGTTTCTTAAGAACATTTTCAGTTCCCGACTCTGAACTTTTCGTTCAAGTTTGTCTGCTAGGGGCATTCAGTAGGATAGAAGGGTCCTATGAACTCCAAATTCTGTAAACTGGGGGTGATTCACAGACGCACATGTTGAGTTTTTAAAGTGTCCAGGAATACCTGTTAAAACAGACAAACTTCGATACACACACACACACACACACATTTATATGTGACCTTTAAGGATAGTACCATGTAAACCCACAAGGGAAAAAAGAATGGCATTCCTCATGTTCTCATCACCAGCCAAGCTGCTGCCCACCCCCGCGGAGTGAGTATGTTACCTGTGCTGGGCCGTGTCCTGCTTGTCTCCTTCCTGCTGCTTTGCGGTTGGGGTGGGAGCCAAAGTCAGGCTCTGTCCCAGCTGTCAGAGACCTCACTGAAGTGCTTCCGTGATGACTGTGAAGTTCTCTTATGTTCTTAGCGGAGGACCATCCGCCCTCACCTGGGATTTTGGATGGGGGCAGGTCTCTATCTTTTCGCTCTGTGCTTGCACCTGAAGGATGGTCCGAGTGTCTGGATGGGAGCCCTGGACTAGGTTAGAGTGGACAGTCTTCATCACACCAGACATTTCACTAGGAGTTAGGAATTGCTGGGGCAAACATGGTGGCATCATAGACTACCCTGATTTACCAAAAAAAAAAAAAAAAAAAAAAAAAAAATCATTGCTCAGGAGTGAGGAAGGCAGAAAGAACACATTCAGGAACAGTCCTGGATGTCACGAAGGAGCGGTCGGAAAAATGGTCATAGGGAGAGAACAGACTTGGCTAGTTTACAGTCCCAGAGTTGACCAACAAAACAAACTTGCTGTGGAGATACGTAATTCCTAGATTTCAGATAGCAAGTGCTTATAAATGAACCAGAAATAGCTAACTTTCCAAACAAGGTTAACATCCCTTCGGGCAGGCTGTCAGGTAAGGATGAAGAAAACACAAGCGGAAAATAGTAGTAAGTTACTCAAAATTTTATTTTGGAGCCTTCTCCCCACCCCTCAGGACTCATTTGGAACTTTATATAAAGATTAAAGTAATGCATGCACAGAATGTGTTACAAGGGAGTCAGCAGGTAGAAAGCAGGTAACATGGTGTCTCAGAAGCCGTCAAACTGGAAGACGGGAGGTCTTCTGTTTAGGTCCTATTCTCTACTTTTTATCAGCAGTGTGTCATTGACCCTCTAAATCCCGTGGTGGGATTTAGTCTCTTGTCATCTAGTGGAATAGGCAAGACGTATGTATGAGAAAATTTAGATAGTCAGACGTACAGCAGAGAGAGAACAAAAAATACTAAAAATACTTTTTTTAGGGTTTAATCTGCAGCCTCAACCACTGTAAAGTGACAGATGTCTCTATACTAGCCAATTGCTCAGGAAAACTATCCCAGAACTCTCCTCAACGAAATGTTCCCATTTCTAACTTTTTGGCAAATCAGTGTGCTCTGCCTCTATAGAGAGGAGATTTAGGGATGACATTAGTAAAAGAAACAGAATTTTTCTACAATGTAAAGACTGTATTTTTATTCTAGAACTTTAGGGAACCTGATTAGAAATATTTTTTTTTTAAGATTTTATTTATTTGAGAGAGAGAGAATGAGAGACAGAGAGCACAAGAGGGAAGAGGGTCAGAGGGAGAAGCAGACCCCCAGCTGAGCAGGGAGCCCGATGTGGGACTCGATCCCGGGACTCCAGGATCATGACCTGAGCTGAAGGCAGTCGCTTAACCAACTGAGCCACCCAGGCGCCCCTGATTAGAAATAATTTTTGAGATTCCTTTTCCCCCCTTCTAACTGTAGCATATCACATTGTGTGTTTTGTATAATAATATTTCAGAATTCTATCTAAAAATCTGTTTGCCATGGGGTTCTTTTTTTGTCCAGGAATATCACTCAGTCGTGGGAGCAAAAAGGATTTTCAGAATTTATTGAGAGCTTCCCAGTGATTTTGATATCTTTAGCTGTTCTTCGCCATGATCTAGTTTAATACTATTTTGTCTAGTTTATACCATTTACTAAATATCTAGTTTTAATGTTATTTTACAGCCAAATGGTCAAAGTGCCAATCCTGTCTTATTATGTGGAAGGAACAGGGACTATTATTTTAAATGGTGTGTTTCTCCTCATATGTAAAATAGGGCTTGAAATAGATGAGGTTGAAGCTGTCTCTGCAGGTTGCAGTGAAAAGGTGTGCATCCTCTTGCATTTCAGAGCCCAGGACAAGGCAGCCATGCAGTTGAGTGAGCTGGAGGAGGAAATGGATCAGAGGATTCAGGCAGCAGAACACAAGACGCGGAAAGACGTGAGTTTATGGGATTGGCCCATTCTTTCCACGAATCCTGGTGGAGCGCGTTTTACAGACCGGGCACTGGGCAGGGGCTTTCAATGAGGGCATTTTTGGCGGTGGTGGTTTCGGGGGGAGATTAAGGAGAGAGATAATAAATAATCAAATAAAGTAGATAATTTCAGTAGCTACGAGTGAAGAGCAAGTGTGGTCGACAGCGATGGGGAGAAGTCGTCAGGAGGTCAGGGGCCTCTCTGTGGAGGTGCCGTGGGAGCTGAGGCCCAAGGAAGAAGGCAGAGCCCCCCTTGGGTAGAGGAGGGTGGCTCAGCTTTTATGCCACAGTCTCCCTGACCATGTCCACTGCCAACTTTAAATTTCTAGATTGCAGGGAAATTAAAATTCTCTCTACGAACTTCAGTGTTTTATAATGGAATGTATTTTATTCGTCACTGAAGGAACTCTTACGGTTGAAAGTTGTTACCTTCAATGATTTCTGTAGAAGCAATACTTGTCTGTTTTCCTTATAAACTATAGCTGGGTGAAGGCTAATGTTGGGGTGGACGTTTTCTATTCATTTGCCCTGTTACCTCCGAGAGGCAGCAGGATGGAGTGAGAAGGGCCCGAGTATTGGCATCTGATAGGCCTTCAGTGTGCTTCCTGGCTCTGCCTTTGCCTGGGCAGGTGGCCCTGGGAAAATAACTGGACCTCTGACCTTTGTGGTACCATTTTTAGAATGGGGTAATGCCACCAACCTGCTTCACGGAGGTCCAGCCTGGTGATGTATATGAGTGCCTGGCACCGTGGCTGTGGCCGGCCTGCTCTTTTCTGTTGCTCTTCGTGCTTTGTGTCCTTCCAGATTCTTTGCCTCAGACTGCTTTATCACATGTATGACTTCAGGTCTCTTTGTCGTCTTATCTCTTAATGACCAGTTTAGTAACTGTTTGGAGGTCATATTCAACAGAGTGAGTGCCTCGGAGTCCATGGGCCTGCTTTAGTGCAGTGGAGAGCCCATTCTTCTGTGAGCACTCCATTTGTTGTAGTCGAAAAACAGGGAAAATCATATACTCTTTCCTGCCCTTTTCCCCTCTCCATCCATTTAATCTGTGTGCTCATTCCTTCGTCGTACACTTACCAAGTACGCGTGCTCTGTTGCCATCAGTCCCACCACTTCTTCCAGCCACGTATGTGAGGAGCAGATTTGTGGTTGGTGTTGGAGCCCTGACCGGGGCCCCCTCCCCTTGTAACTTCATGTGCGGTTCGTTACAATATCTGGCTCAGCTCGGCTCCCTGCGATTCTTCACCGCACAGCGCTGGTCGGGCATGATCATCGCTCTTCCTTCGCTCCATCTGTTTTCTTTGCCCTTCCTTCCCGTGTTCCCCAACTCCGCCAAGCGCAGAGAAAATCTCCCCTTGATGCTCCCTTGCAGTCCTCTGGCCTTATTCAGCTCTTCCTGACCTTGACTCCTGTTGTACCTACAGTGTTACTCCATTGCTCCAGGTAAGTATTTTAGGTGTGAAGTAGAATTGACAGACAAGGAACTGCACAGGTTTACAGTACAGAAGATGGTAACACTGGGTGTACCCATACACCGTGAAACCCCCACCACAGCCAAGACAATGGGTGTATCCGTCCACCATCTAGGTTTCCTCAGGCCCCTTCCTCATGCCTCCCTTCCTCCCTCCTCTGCCCTCCTTGCTAGGAAACCACTGGGTATCTTCTTCGGTGAAATATGTTAACACCTTTTGTTCACTTTAAAAATTAGGTAGTTTTCTTGTTATGGAGGGTTTTTTTGTTTTGTTTTGTTTTAAATACAGGTTTTTTTTTTTTTTTTAAAGATTTATTTATTTATTTTAGAGAGAGAGAGCGCACAGTTGAGCAATTGAGCAAGAGGGACAGAGGGAGAGGGAGAGAGAATCTCAAGCCGACTCCTCACAGAGCCCGACGACCTTGAGATCATGACCTGAGCTGAAGCCAAGAGTCGGACGCTTAACCGACTATGCCACCCAGGCACCCCTGTTAGGGAGTTTTGAGAGTTCTTTATATATTCTGTTTTTAAAATTCTCTCCCACACTCTGACTTGTCTTTTCAGTCTCCTAACAGTGTATTCTGAAGAGTAGAAAGTTTTCATTTTGATGAAGTCCAATTTGTCAATTTTTCTTTAATGGATCAGGCTTTTGGCCTCTAAGGAATCTTTGCCTAATCCAAGGTCACAAAGATTTTTCTGCTGTTTCCTTCTGTAAGTTTTATTTTTTTAGATTTTACATTTAGGATCCATTTTTGCAATATGGATCAAAGTTCATATTTTTTTGCAGGTGGCTATCCAGTTGTTCTAGCACCATTTGTTGAAAAGGCTATTTGTTCTCCATTGAATTGCCTTTGCACTTTGTCCCAAATTGGTTTACTGTATCTGTGTGGCTTTATTTCTGGGCTCTCTGCTTTGTTCCATTGATTACTTTATGCCAATATTACATTGTTTTGGTGACTATTGCTTTATAATAAGTCTTGAAATCAAGTAATATTAGTTCTTCAACTTTGTTGTTTTTTTCTTTTTTTTAAATTTTATTATGTTATGTTAATCACCATACATCATTAGTTTTTGATGTAGTGTTCCATGATTCATTGTTTGCGTATAACACCCAGTGCTCCATTAAAAATACGTGCCCTCTTTAATACCCATCACCAGGCTAACCCATCCCCCCACCTCCTCCCCTCTAGAACCCTCAGTTTGTTTCTCAGAGTCCATAGTCTCTCATGGTTCGTCTCCCCCTCTGATTTTCCCCCCTTCATTTTACCCTTCCTACTATCTTCTTCGTTTTTTAACATATAATGTATTATTAGTTTCAGAGGTACAGGTCTGTGATTCAACAGTCTTACACAATTCACAGTGCTCACCATAGCACATACCCTCCCCAATGTCTATCACCCAGCTACCCTCCCTCTGACCCCCTACCACTCCATGATACATGTCTTTCTCTGTTTGACTTATTTTGCTCAGCATAATACCCTCCAGTTCCATCCACGTCGTTGCAAATGGCAAGATCTCATTCCTTTTGATGGCTGCATAATATTCCATTGTATATATATACCACATCTTCTTTATCCATTCATCTGTCGATGGACATCTTGGCTCTTTCCACAGTTTGGCTATTGTGGACATTGCTGCTATAAACATTGGAGTGCACATACCCCTTTGGATCACTACATTTGTATCTTTGGGGTAAATACCCAGTAGTGCAATTGCTGGATCATATGGTAGCTCTATTTTCAACTTTTTGAGGAACCTCCATACTGTTTTCCAGAGTGGCTGCACCAGCTTGCATTCCCACCAACAGTGTAGGAGGGTTCCCCTTTCTCCGCATCCCCGCCAACATCTGTCATTTCCTGACTTGTTAATTTTAGCCATTCTAACTGGTGTGAGGTGGTATCTCATTGAGGTTTTGATTTGGATTTCCCTGATACCGAGTGATGTTGAGCACTTCTTCATGTGTCTGCTGGCCATTTGGATGTCTTCTTTGGAATAATGTCTGTTCATGTCTTCTGCCCATTTCTTGATTGAATTCTTTGTTCTATGGGTGTTGAATTTGATAAGTTCTTTATAGGTTTTGGATACTAGCCCCTTATCTGATATGTCATTTGCAAATATCTTCTCCCATTCTGTCGGTTGTCTTTTGGTTTTGTTGACTGTTTCCTTTGCTGTGCAAAAGCTTTTTATCCTGATGAAGTCCTAATAGTTCATTTTTTGCCCTTGCTTCCCTTGCCTTTGGCGATGTTTCTAGGAAGAAGTTGCTTCGGCTGAGGTCGAAGAGGTTGCTGCTGTGTTCTCCTTTAGGATTTTGATGGACTCCTGTCTCACATTTAGGTTGAAAGAACTTTGTTGTTTTTCAAAATTGTCTGGGCTATTTTAGATCCTTTAATTTCCATAGAATCAGCTTGTCAGTTTCTTAAAAACAAAAAGAAAAAAACAAAAAACCCAAACATTCTGGGGGGTTGATTTGGTTTCATTGCATTTATAGATCAATTTGGGGAGAATTGGCATCTTAACAATAATGAATAATTTGATCCATTTATTCTCCATTTATTTAGGTCTTCTTTAATTTCTCTTAGCAATGTTTTGTAGTGTACAACATAAAGATCTTATAAATCTTTCCTCAGATTCATTCCTAAGTATTTGATATTTTAATGCTACTCTAAACAGTGTTGTTAAAACTTTCAATTTCTGGTTGTCCAATGTGAATATATAGAAATACACTTGATTTTTACATATAGATCTTATACCCTATCTTATTGTTTACATTGTTCACACTCAGCAGCTTTTTTGGTAGATTCCATCAGGTTTTCTAGGTAAATGGTATTGTAATCTATGAATAAAGACAGCTTTACTTCTCTCTTTCTGGTGTGAATGATCACTTTATTTTTCTCTCCTTATTGCACTGGTTAGAACAAGAAAAGGGAGAGCAGACATCCTTGTCTATAATTTCTCTCTCAACAAGAAGTATGATGTTGGTGGCATGCTGTTCATAGAAGCCCTTTACTGAATTTTGCGCATGTTCCTGGTTGGCTAAGAGTTGTTTTAATTAGGAATGGAATGTTGGATTTCATCAAATGTTTTTCTGTATCTATTGAAATGATCATGGCTTTTTTCTTTTTTAGAACATCAATGTGGTGAATTACATTGATTTTCAAGTATTAAAACACACTTGTACTCGGGGGATAAACCTCATTTATTTATAATGTATTTTCATTTTTGAATCTTGTTGAATTCATTTTGCTAAATTTTGTTTATTATTTTTGCATCCATACTCATAAAAGATACTGGTTTGTGGGTTTCTCTTAATGTGTTTGATTTTTGTATCAGGCCAGTGCTGGTCTCATAGAATGAGTTGGGAAAGCTTCCCTCCCTTTCAGTTTCCTGGAAGTTTATGATGAGTTGGTCTGAACCACCACCATCTACCTAAGTTACTGTAGTGACCCCCTACCCGATCTCTTGGCAGCTTGACAGGTTGGGAATGGAAAGAGCTACATGGTGATAATTTCCTTTATTGAACTCTGAATAAAATGTTTTTAAACCATAAAAGTTGTTTAAGGTTGTGGCCCTGGATTTAGTGAGAAGACTTGCCTAGTTACATCGGGGTCCACTTCAGTGCCAGGAAGGCTGTCCGAGGTAGTGCCTCATTGGGAGGCTTCCCGTCTTCATCCACCTGTGAAGTGGCGACATTGCTGCCTCACCTGTGGAGCTGGATGAAGTCAAGAGACGCGCTTAGAAAAGGTTACCATGAGTGAAGATGTTACTCTTCTCCTACACATTTCCTCCTAAGCATAGAATATTTAATTTACATGGATTATTTAATTTATATGGATTATTTAATTTACTTGGCTAATTTAATATAATCCTCACATTAATCCAATAGGGAGGGCGCCTGGGTAGCTCAGTCGTTAAGCGTCTGCCTTCGGCTCAGGTCATGATCCCAGCGTTCTGGGATCGAGCCCCACGTCGGGCTCTCCACTCCGCGGGAAGCCTGCTTCTCCCTCTCCCATTCCCCCTGCTTGTGTTCCCTCTCTTGCTGTGTCTCTCTCTGTCAAATAAATAAATAAAATCTTAAAAAAAAAAAAATCCAATAAGGAGATGAAGGCTCCAAGTAAGTTGTCTCAGCTAGACAGCCAGTAAGTGGGTTGCAAGACCCTGTAACTCAGGCGGGTGTTCAGACATGGGGTCATGTCTCCCCTGCAGAGAGGCCTTACCTTACCCCCTAACTCAGTTCCTGTCACATCTCCCTGTCAGCTTCTCCCTGTATTACTTCCTGAGGTCGTCTTACCTCCTGTCTTCCCCCACCAGCATGCGCGTTTGTCTGCCTTGCTCCTGCTCTGCCCCCCTGTGCTCAGGACTGTTGGCATATAGTGGGCTAGCAGGGGATCGCTGCACACTCAATTTCACTGGCTAGTAACATAATTTATTTGAATACTAAACACAGGGCACAGAGTTCCATACTTTGCGAAGAGAAAAAGGACATTTGAAGATGTCTGGGCTCCTGGGACCTGCAGCCCGTGACCTCCCGGGGTGCCCCTTGCCATTCACTGATCCAGGCAGGACACATGTGAGAAGAACCAGCCCATGTGGAAGCACTTAGCATAGAAATTTGCAGGTGATGTGATTTGAATTCAGGTAAAGGTGTAAGCTCTTGGAAAAAGGACAAACCCACTGGACCTTCCTGGGCCCTGATGACATCATAGGGTTCAGGCAAGCACGTGGGCCCTTGGCTCTTGCCATATCTTTTAATAAATAACAGCAATAACTACTTAAACTAGTTAATAGATGTGCCCTGGCCTCCTGTCACAACATGAGTAATAGTCTTAGAGGCGTCTCCTGGTGATGTGTGCATGTCGGCTTTCACTTCCGCAGGTTTCAATTCCAAAAGAGATGTACCTCCAAAGTCATTTGGTTTACTTCCGCCATCCCTTCTTGCCCTCCCTGTGTGGGAGACTTGGGATCAGCCTTACTTTGACACCAAACATTTCTTGCTCTATGGGGTTTTGAAGAACCTGTTTAAATCATTAAAATCTTTTTTTTTTTTAGGAAAAACGTAAGGCTGAGGAAGCCCTCAGTGACCTCAGACGTCAGTATGAAACAGAAGTAGGGGATTTACAGGTGACAATAAAGAAACTCAAAAAGGTATGTTTGTGGCAGTGAGGCTTCTAGGAATAGCCTCAGTGTATCAGTGTGTTTAAGTTATTAGCAACTAAAGACATTGGGAATCATATTAAAGCAGCAGTTGGAATCAGATTTCAGGGTCAAACTGGGCTCCCTGGAAAGATGGATTTTTAAAGGTCCCTGATTTTCTTTTCCGTTTCAAGGGCAACCTATCTTCTGCACAGGTCTAATAAATATTTCTGACCCCTTGAACAGTTGTCCATCAAACCCCAGTTTTCCTTCCTCAGGTGCCCTCAATGCCCACATGTTCAGTGGACTCTGCTCATGACAGGAGGGATCCTGTCTTTACTGGTCACGTATTCCTGTATCCTTGCCCCCAGCTAACCTCAAGGTACATGGTCAGTATTCAATGAATATTTATTAAATGAAGTAAATGCTCTTCTTCTATGCAGAAAGTTCCAGAGCTAGGGGACCCCTGATCAGCAGGAGGTGGGAGAGAACTTGCTGAAATGTGAGCAAAAGTGTGATTGGGTTTGGCCTTTGCTGTGTTTGGTTTCTAATGAGTAGGGTTTGTTTCACCCAGTGGTATGCTGGTAGCTACTTAACAATGGGCTCTGGAGGGGGAAGGGGGTCAGGGAGGAATCTGTAATATTTGCTGATTTCCACGGTGTTAATGCTTCCACCATTAACAATTTCAAGCTACCAAGTTGACGTGACTGAGTGCAGAGTTTGGGAAGAGGTGCGTCACATTGGCTCTCACCCGCCGGCACAGGCTGTCCACCTCTTGCGTGTGGATTGTCTCTATAACGAGTGGAAATACCTTGGCTAAACTGAAAATGGATACTTAAAAAAGAATCATCCCTGAAAGTGGCATTGTGACTTTGGGCACATTACTTTGCTTCTCTGGTTGTTCATGTGATAACCTTTAATGCTGTTTCCAATGTTTATATTCAATGAGATTAAGGGACGATTAGCTGTATTTTGTAGGCTATTGCAATTCAAACCTCTGGGATTCTCTGGGATTATTAAAAATCCTCCCCAATAACCTTCTTGGGAAATTATGATCAGCTCAACCTTTTCTCTAATTGGCAGAGGCCATTAGACCAGACATAAGATGCTTGAATTGCAGAATTTGAACAGACCAGTCCCTTGTTGATGCCAGAGTCACAGATTCTCCTAGCCCCGGTTCTCGGTTATTTTCCTGTCTTCCCACATCTTTAGGCTAGAAGCAAGTTATGCAGAAAAGACACAAAATTTCTTGCCACGATGAGGCATATGATGACGACCACATAGGCCCTGAACAGTAAGAGTCAGAAGTGATGGGACTGGAGTTCTCATCGAGACGATGCTACTTTGTTCCCATTATACCTGGGACAATTGGCTTCATTATCTTATCATTTCGTTTCTCATTTGTAAAATGGGATTAATAATGGACTGTCCTGCCTAACCCTAATAGCTGAGATATTACTGACTTTATAGTTTCTTCAGCTCTTTTTCATAATTTTTAATTCTCAAACTTTTTCTGAGGATAGGTAAGTCTCCTGCTTTCACAGCTGAGGACACCAAGTTCTAGAGTCACAGAGCTAATAAGCCGTGGAGTTGTCTTGCTACACAGTTTGCGCTTTCTCACTTGTACCAGACTTCCCACCGGCTCGGGAGGCTTGTTCTGCAAGAGAACAGATGGTGATTTACGTGAGGGATGTTAAAGGCTTAAACTGGAAAAGTTTACAAAATTGATATGACTGCCATTACCCTATGCCATGGATTCTGAGGAACTAGTTTTTTCCCTCCAGTTCTTTTTCTCTGAAATTAGCATGAATCTGAAAAAATCAAGGGCTCTTCTCAGAGTGAGCCACGTGGCAGTCATGGCCTCGGTGTGTGAAAACCTTTAGTTGATGCATCTGGTAAGATGAAGAAAATCCAGCATCAGATTACTTAGGCTTTGACTTAGAATTGATGAAATATAGCATTCATTTTGGTCAGTGCGTAACTACTCAGTTAATGGAAACCCACGGATCCTCACCGTTCCCAGGGACTGTCAGGAAACAAAAAGACATGTTTGTTGTCCATGTTAGAGATCTCCTGAGCTGGTTGAAAGTCTGGTAATACTAACAAGTCAACCAGAAAGCAAAGCTCCGGTATATATTCATAGAGAATTGTGTGTATATGTCACTAGCTTCTTATCACACTTAAATGTTATTGATTTCAGTTATTTTAATAAGCATTTACTGGAGTCACTGTGAAGAAAACAGGTGAATCTGACACTAACTCTGCTGTTAAAAATCTTAGACTCTGGTAGGAGAGAGAAGGCATTCATAAATAATTATAATACAGGATAGAAAGTGTTAAGTGCAGATGAATTTCTAGGAGAATATAAAGGTCCAGACTCATAGGCAACATAACTGAAAAGGCTAAGTTAAATCGCTTAATAGTTGAATGGCTTCCCAAAAGGACTTTTCAGTTGTTTCGAAAAGAAATTCATTAAGTGATAAAACCCCCTTTTTAAATGCTTAAATTATTTAAAGCAAATTTTCAAATCTTCATGGATTATATGTAGCTTAATAATTCACAAAGTTGTAAAATGTTGAAAATGGAAGACTTTTAGAATTCCCATATCTGTATATTCAAGGATACTCATAAACTTAACTGAATCAATCCAAAGTGAGTTTGTAAATGCACAGCCTTTATTTGCTCTTTCAGCTAGAAGAACAGTCGAAACACATAAGTCAAAAAGAAGATGTGGCTGCATTAAAAAAGCAAATTTATGATTTATCAATGGTAAGAATCACCTTTCATTTACAGAAATACATTTCCTCTTCAACGACTAGACATAGTCATGCTGTTTATCAGTGTTCCGGGGATGGAGAGAAATTAGTACTGCAGTTAGAGAAAGCCTTTGACGTACCTTTGACCAAAGGTGTTATTCAGGCTTTTACCCTCAAGGATACCCCACCTATTGTGAATGCTTTTATTTATTTCTTAATTTTTTTTTTTTAAGATTTTATTTATTTGCAAGAGAGAGAATGAGAGACAGAGAGCATGAGAGGGAGGAGGGTCAGAGGGAGAAGCAGACTCCCCACCGAGCAGGGAGCCCGATGCGGGACTCGATCCCGGGACTCCAGGATCATGACCTGAGCCCGAAGGCAGTTGCTTAACCAACTGAGCCACCCAGGCGCCCGCTTTTATTTATTTCTTACTCAAAGCAATGACGGCATGGCCCTTGCACTTCACATAGTTAACCCTGCATTCCTACAACTTCAGCTCTGGTCTGTGTCCCTGGCTTTGTGAGATGAGGTTATAATTGCCCTTTTCTTCCTCCAGCATTCCTCTTTCTGCCCATTTCCCCCCTTGATGACCCTATCTTTGGTCTTTCTGTTGTCAAGTTGTCAGCATTTGCATCTGTTTTTTCATCATCATTAAGTTGTCTTTATTTTGTTTGTAGGTGGACTCTAGAAGTTGAAAGCCACTAGTGAACATTTCCTTTATTAGGACTCTAAATATTCTCATTGCAGAGCCCAGAAGTGAGCCAGCTGTGCTATAAGTGTGTTTCTTTCTCTCCAGTCATTATCCCTGCACCACTCAGAAGAGAAGGCTCCCAGCTTCATGGTCAAGTTGGAATGCACCATCAGTTCCAAATTCTGCCCCTTCTTAGTTGGCTCTGTATTTGGATCATGACTTTCTTGTAGAATTGCTTATTTTTCTTGCATTTCCTGGTTGAGTTTTTGGTTTCTTGTAAAAAGAAACTCTGGCATCCTCAGGATATCATCCACTGATGCCTTCCAACTTTTTTTTTTTTTATTCTTCCCAATGCGTGGAATTTGTTTTTTCTCCTTGAAAATGTTAATTCTAGAGTCTACAGAATTTCAGTTCTTACTGGACTGATCGTTTTTTTAACTCACTACCCATATGTCATCCTGGAATTTCTGAGCATTTTAGGTAGCTGGCATAGGATTCCTGTGCAGCTAGGTAAATAGATCTGTTTACCTCAGGGCCTCCTCCCTGAGAGAGTGTTTTCCTAGGAGCTGTGTGTGTGAAGCTGGCTGTCAGACTGGGAGACCCCTGATGACCAGAAGGAGTGGGATATGGATATTCAGAGACAAGCCTCAGCACACTGTATAGGGGTCATTCGGTTCTTTTTCTCTTCTTTTTTTTTTTTTTTTTTTAAGATTTTATTTATTTGTTTGTTTGAGAGAGAGAGAGAGCAAGTGAGGGCAGAGGGAGAGGCAGGGAATCTGAAACAGACTCCACGCTGAGCACAGAGCCTGAGTGGGGCTCTGTCTCATGACCCTGACTGAGATCAGGACTTGAGCCAAAACCAGGAGTTGGATGCTTAACTGACAGCGCCACCCAGGCACCCAATTCAGTTCTTTTTAAAAAGACAAGCCCTGTCTTACAGCCTTAGGAATCGACTCTATCTGCTGTTCTTTGCTAGTATTAGAGGGGATGGCCTGGGGCTGGGGGCCGAGTTCCTTAATACACAAATTTAACCTGTGTTTTTAAGCCCCATTTCTGACTGTTCGGGGGTTCTGCCTGGCTAATTGCCTCCTCCTTTGCTCTATAGCACAATCTTCCCCCATGCCTCTTCCAGACCTCCTGTGCTCCTGCTCGCTTCTCTTTTGTCAGCACATTTCCACCCATTTTCCATCTTCCAGAAATGTATTTAATTCATTTGACTGTTGGGGGGCCCCTCTTGCATTCTTGCAACTTGTATTGGTTTATTTCATGTTATTTGGCATTTCATGTGAATGAGGTCTCCAAAAGGAAAGAAGAGTGCTCAGTCCATCATTACACACCAGAAGCCTCCAGTGTGTTTTTGTTTTCTTTTTTTAGGAAAACATAGACATTTTTTAAACTACACTAGTTTATTTTTAAGCACAAAACTTACAAATGTTAGGTGATCGGATTTATTGTAAAAACTAGCCAGTCTGCCTGGTGATAGGTACTATTAATTCCACAGAATATTTTCAGTAGATTCATAGCTCTCATTGAGTAAAACAGATGTTTACATATTTGATCTGAGCTCATTTGCCAGTAACATGTTAAAGTATGTCATGATCATGATTTGACTGGTGTTTTTTGGCACCAGATGTCAGACATTAAAAAAAGAGAGAACAACTTCAAGGATTTAGCTTTTTGAGACTTTAATACTTTATGATAATTTCAGATCACCTTGAATTGATAACTAGTTCTTTGAACACCAAGATTTGAAGAACTATGGAGGTGTAGGTTTGGGGTGCGAGGTTCCACTACACTTGACTCTCCTGGGTGGAAGACACCCCGAATCTAATGGCCTGCGCTGTTTCTTTTCTCCAGGAAAATCAGAAAGTTAAGAAAGATCTTTTAGAAGCACAGACAAACATAGCCTTTCTTCAGAGTGAATTAGATGCTTTGAAAAGTGATTATGCCGATCAGACTCTGAATTCAGAAAGGTATGAAACTTTGCATTTTATTCTTTAGTTTGAGTGGAATGTTTATTTAGATGACCATCCGTGTGAATGAAGTCAGCTACGTAATCATAAAGGGTTATTTATTGACCTTGCTCGTATGTTCTTTGCTTTCCAAAGATACTGCTTTCAGTGTCCTATTTCCTGGTGATTTTTGTGTTTTAAATTTTTTTTAAGAAAAATACTAATTAGTTTAATTATTGACTGCTTTGGAGAGTGCAGGGCTTAGTAGATGTTTGAATTATTGGGAACAGAAGAATATACCTGAAGTATCGGGAGTCAGTGCTAATTGAAGTGCACACACACACACAGGCATGCATTTATGTATATATGCAAATACCTATATAAATATCTGAATATATATATGGATATTTATAAAGGTATTTACATTCACATATTTGCATGTAATATGGATGTATATGCATACAAAATACATACACACACGTGTGTGTGTGTGCGTGTGTGTATAAACATATACACTTGGGAAAAGTATCCTTTTTGCTTTGTTTGCTTGCAAACTTTAATCACAATTAAGGTCCTGTAATGGTCAGCAGTGAAACATTTAAGTACTTACTGTATACAGGTTCCTGAGTTACAGAAGGAGTTATGAGTGTGAAATAAATAAATAAATAAATAAACAAACAAACAAATAAATAAAAATATAAGCAAAGATGTGATCTCTGCTCTGTGAGAACTTGAGATTCGTGGAGAAAGTCACAAAGCTGAAGGGTTATGGAGTTCGTGTAGGAGCTCAGCAGTGTCAGAAACAATCCCAGCCGCAGTGGCTCAGGTTGGGTCCTTTGCCATGTGATGGTAGATAGTGTCCTTTTGATTCAGGGGCAGTGAAGAGCTTTATTAAAGAGGAGACGCCTGAGATTGGCTTGGGAGGAGCTGATTTGTGTCGGTCAAGGGGGGCAGGGGTAACATGCATAGAACTTTCCTAGCATCAACTCTTGCAATCCACAGAATACCCTGTGAGATAGGGACTTTTAGTCTTCCCATTTCAGAGGGGAGAAGAGAGTCTCAGAGCTGTTCCAGGTGAGGCAGTAAGCAAGGCAGAGGCAAGAACAGAGAGACAGATAAGACTGTTTTGGAGAACAGAGGTCAGACCTCTGGACAGGAAAAGGTATTTTGAATAGCAAAGTAAAAGTTAAACAAAATTTAAAAATTTAAAAGCTAGTTTAAATGGAAGGGCCCAGCATTTTTGGCTAAGGAACTTAAATTCCTATTGTCAATTGGGAACCTCTTAGCTTTATCATCAAGAGAGTGAGCGGACAGGTTATTGTGGATAACAGTTGAGAGCCTGAGAGTCTTTGGTTTGTCTGCTTAGAAATGGGGCTGAGGTGGAATAGGGGCTGGTGGTAAGTGGCTAATGTTCTCAGGGAACGTTACGGGGAGGAGGCCAGGGCTTTGTAATAAAGCAACAGGAATCGCTGAGCATGGGTTTATGGCAAGCGGAGAAAGCCCGGTCCCGTGGACTCCTCTGTGGTTTAGGGTGAGGCGGGGAGGGCCAGGTGGGGTGAGGAGAAGGAATCACCAAGAAGGAGGAAAATATCTGGGTTAGGATTGCATGAGGCAGGGAAGGAGCAGGGAAGGGTCAGAGGGGAGAGAGCACGCTGGATTGAAGGGACTGTTAATGAGTCCCTGGGGAGAGGGGGCTTAGCAGAAGGTGAAGGGTCAAGGCGTCCTATGAGGAGCAGAGCTGGGTTTGGGAGGGAGAGCAGGACCTCGCACAGGAAAGGGGGGCGTGTGGGCATGTGGGGCTGCTGAAGGCACAGAGGGACTAAGTGGGAGCCCCGGGGGATAGAAAACCATGGCCAAGGACACAGGTCTTTGAGAAAGGTGAAAGGGGGTCTGGGAGGGTAGATGTAAGGCAGGACTGGATACCTAATTCTCGTTCAAACATAAAATATGGTTTTACAGGGATCTGGAAATAATCCGAGAGTACACAGAAGATCGAAATAGTCTTGAGAGGCAAATTGAAATACTCCAGTAAGTTCTCATATAAAACGCTCATTACATTTACATTTTCCTGATGTTTTGTGAATAAGACACATGCCCCATGTCACATGAGTTGCCATATTCTCAAGACTGGGTTTGCAGGTCCATGCATGTTTCTTCTCGCTGTGGTGCATTCAGCACTTGGCTTTCTCCTGCTTTTAATCCTAAATAAACTATTCAAATCCAGGGACTAGAGTCTGATTCTCTCAAAGTCCTTGCAAGTCAGGTGAGATGTTATTATACCTCCATAAAGACTCAGAGCTCTGACCTCAGCAGCTGTCTCTACAGCCCAGCACACCGGGAGGCTGTCAGGAATCTCCTGTTAGCTCACGTCACAGCACTAGACACATGCGATCATTCTTGCCCAACGTATTGTTCTTGGTGAGACGGCTATTTTTCTTAGGTTTTTTTTTTTTAAATCCTACTGGAAATATTATACCTGCTTTGTCAACTTCACACCCGTGTTACCATAATTCCAGCCTCTGAGGGCCTTCTCCACAAACCCTCCCCCTCCTCTACTCCCATGCTCTTTTTTACTCATGTATGTTCTTCTGGTTTGTCTTCCCAAAGGAAGTAAGGTCAGGCTTGGCAAGTTTGTTTTCTCCATGCCTGTTAAGTCTCACCAGTGGCAGTTACAGAGTTGACATGTTACAATAATCCTGCTCATGCATTTATTCATTCATCCAGCAGGTTTTCATTCAGCAACTTTTACGGGTCAGGTATGCCAGGAGCTGAGGATAGAGCGGCAAGTAAAAAGAAAAGAAAAAAAAAAGTCTCTTTATGGGGCTCATCTAGGGGAAGAAGATGGAAACTGATCACTAATTATAGAAATAAACATAAAATGCCAAAGGAGAAGTGGGACAGAGGGAAGAGGTGTACCTGCTGGGGCATATAGTACAGAGATTCCTCCTACCCAGGAAGGTCCAGGAAGTGTCCTGGCGGATACAACAACTGAGCTGAGATCTGAAGGATGGATCAGCCTTAAGTACGGAAAGATGGGCCACTCTCAGGCGGCATTGTCCTCCCTTTGTAGAAGAGGTTGCTGAGGCTCTGACAGGTCAGATGACTCCCATCAGTGATGTGGAAAGTACATGCCTGCATGGGGTTTGAACCCAGAGTCAACATTAGAACCTTTCATCGGTACCCTGGTGGACAGTATCAGGCCACGAGGAAGATGTGGGAGTAGCCAGGAGAAAGAAGTGTGACATAACACATCACTTCCACGCCTGGCTGGGACATGCACAGGGGGACAGAGGGCAGCACATGGGGCCAGCTGGGGCCTGGCATTTAGGAAGCAGAGACCTGTAGGAAACCTGTTCATATCTTGAAGCTACCTGAGGGAACAGTGGGTTCCAACAGCATAGCTAATTCTTTAATGCTCTGAGACCTTTAAAAGAGAGGGGATCCCTCAATTAAGTTGTAGTTCTCGTAATGAATTATGATCTCGGTTTATGAGGTTGGAAGGGGAGTGGTAGAAAGTTGCAAGAGGTGGTAAGTAATTCTGCGTTCTGAATTTCACAGCCTGCAAAGAAAGTGGCTTTTACCCCAACTTTCCTTATCTGTTTGTTTGTTTATTTGCTCTGTAGAACAGCTAACCGGAAGTTACATGACAGTAATGACGGCCTTAGGAGTGCCCTTGAAAACAGTTACAGCAAGTTCAACAGATCTTTGGTATGGAGTAGAATTTTATAATACATTTTGTTCTTTCTTGTAGTAGAGTATTTTGATGAAGATCATGTATTTTCTTAAAGGGGGAGCTTACAATAATGAGAAACTATTCCATTTAATAAGAGAAGGCAGCATTTTCCCAAATTAAAGAATATGCCACCCCTCTGCAGAAATAAATGTCTAGATGTTCACCAACTCTCTGTTAGCTGTTCAGGGAAACCAGAGAAAGACATATAAGGTGTGACCTGGGTCCTGGAAGAGTTTATAGTGTAGTGTAGGGAGTTAAGATGTGCACAGATAGCAATGATATAAGAAAAATTGGGAAATCTTATGGAAGTAGGAAGAAAATACTTCCCATTTCAGAGGAGGGAGAAGGTGCTTCTGGCTGAGGAGTGCACTTAGACACACTGAGTGTTCTTTATGGTCGTGAGATGATCAGAGTGGAGGTCTTGGATTTAAAACCCTGCTACAGAAACAAGCTAAGCCCCTCTTGGAATTTTGAGGAACTTCCCCGGACTACACGTGCCCGAAATCCTCTTCTCCCACTTTTGGGGGTGAGCTTCGAGTTTGGGGTTCCTTTGCCATAGCTTTAAGTATGGCCAAGTCAGTCACTGAGCCAAATTTATAGTTTGAGAAGAGATAAATCCAAAGAAGTTGGTATTGCAGGGTCCTGGCCAATGTGGGGAACCAGGATACCCTGTTATGGCTTATGCAATGGTATTTGGATCTAAGACACAATGAGGAGAGAGTACTATAGGCAGTTACCTTGGTGTCTGTGCTCACATTTGCTCATGTAGGATACCAAACTTTTTTTTTTTTATTCTTATGTTAATCCCCATACATTACATCATTCGTTTTAGATGTAGTGTTCCATGATTCACTGTTTGTGCATAACACCCAGTGCTCCATGCAGAATGTGCCCTCCTCAATACCCACCACCAGGCTAACCCATCCTCCCACCCACCTCCCCTCTAGAACCCTCAGTTTGTTTTTCAGAGTCCATCATCTCTCATGGTTCGTCTACCCCTCCGATTTCCCCCACTTCATTCTTCCCCTCCCGCTACCTTCTTCTTCTTTTTTTTTTTTCTTAACATATATTTCATTATTTGTTTCAGAGGTACAGATCTGAGATTCAACAGTCTTGCACAATTCACAACGCTTACCAGAGCACATACCCTCCCCAGTGTCTATCACCCAGTCACCCCATCCCTCCCACCCCACCCCCCGCTCCAACAACCCTCAGTTTGTTTCCTGCGATTAAGAATTCCTCATATCAGTGAGATCATATGATACATGTCTTTCTCTGTTTGACTTATTTCACTCAACATAATACCCTCCATTTCCATCCACATCGTTGCAAATGGAAAGATTTCATTCCTTTTGATGGCTGCATAATATTCCATTGTATATATATACCACATCTTCTTTATCCATTCATCTGTCGATGGACTTCTTGGCTCTTTCCACAGTTTGGCTATTGTGGACATTGCTGCTATAAACATCGGGGTGCACGTACCCCTTCGGATCCCTACTTTTGTATCTTTGGGGTAAATACCCAGTAGTGCAATTGCTGGATCATATGGTAGCTCTATTTTCAACTTTTTGAGGAACCTCCATACAGTTTTCCAGAGTGGCTGCACCAGCTTGCATTCCCACCAACAGTGTAGGAGGGTTCCCTTTCTCTGCATCCCCGCCAACATCTGTCGTTTCCTGACTTGTTAATTTTAGCCATTCTAACTGGTGTGAGGTGGTATCTCATTGAGGTTTTGATTTGGATTTCCCTGATGCTGAGCGATATTGAGCACTTTTTCATGTGTCTGTTGGCCATTTGGATGTCTTCTTTGGAAAAATGTCTGTTCATGTCTTCTGCCCATTTCTTGATTGGATTCTTTGTTCTTTGGGTGTTGAGTTTGATGAGTTCTTTATAGATTTTGGATACTAGCCCTTTATCTGATATGTCATTTGCAAATATCTTCTCCCATTCTGTCGGTTGTCTTTTGGTTTTGTTGACTGTTTCCTTTGCTTTGCAAAAACTTTTTATCTTGATGAAGTCCCAATAGTTCATTTTTGCCCTTGCTTCCCTTGCCTTTGGCGATGTTTCTAGGAAGAAGTTGCTTCGGCTGAGGTCAAAGAAGTTGCTGCCTGTGTTCTCCTTTAGGATGTTGATGGACTCCTGTCTCACATTGAGGTCTTTCAACCATTTGGAGTCTATTTTTGTGTGTGGTGTAAGGAAATGGTCCAGTTTCATTCTTCTGCATGTGGCTATCCAATTTTCCCAACACCATTTGTTGAAGAGACTGTCTTTGTTCCATTGGACATTCTTTCCTGCTTTGTCGAAGATTAGTTGACCATAGAGTTGAGGGTCCATTTCTGGGCTCTCTATTCTGTTCCATTGATCTATGTGTCTGTTTTTGTGCCAGTACCATGCTGTCTTGATGATGACAGCTTTGTAATAGAGCTGGAAGTCCGGATTGTGATGCTGCCGGCTTTGTTTTTCTTTTTCAACATTCCTCTGGCTATGCGGGGTCTTTTCTGGTTCCATACAAATTTTAGGATTATTCGTTCCATTTCTTTGAAAAAAGTGGATGTTATTTTGATGGGGATTGCATTGAATGTGTAGATTGCTCTAGGTAGCATAGACATCTTCACAATATTTGTTCTTCCAATCCATGAGCATGGAACGTTTTTCCATTTCTTTGTGTCTTCCTCAGTTTCTTTCATGAGTATTTATAGTTTTCTGAGTTCAGATCCTTTGCCTCTTTGGTGAGATTTATTCCTAGGTATCTTAAGGTTTTGGGTGCAATTGTAAATGGGATCGACTCCTTAATTTCTCTTTCTTCTGTTTTGTTGTTGGTGTATAGGAATGCCACTGACTTCTGTGCATTGATTTTATATCCTGCCACTTTACTGAATTCCTGTATGAGTTCTAGCAGTTTTGGGGTGGAGTCTTTGGGGTTTTCCACATAAAGTATCATATCATCTGCAAAGAGTGAGAGTTTGACTTCTTCTTTGCCAATTTGGATGCCTTTGATTTCTTTTTGTTGTCTGATTGCTGTGGCTAGGACTTCCAATACTATGTTGAATAGCAGTGGTGATAGTGGACATCCCTGCCGCGTTCCTGACCTTAGGGGGAAAGCTCTCAGTTTTTCCCCATTGAGAATGATCTTCGCTGTAGGTTTTTCATAGATGGCTTTTATGATATTGAGGTATGTACCCTCGATCCCTATACTCTGAAGAGTTTTGATCAAGAAAGGATGCTGTACTTTGTCAAATGCTTTTTCTGCATCTATTGAGAGGATCATATGATTCTTGTTCTTTCTTTTGTTAATGTATTGTATCACAATGATTTGCAGATGTTGAACCAACCTTGCAGCCCAGGGATAAATCCCACTTGGTCATGGTGAATAATCCTTTTAATGTACTGTTGGATCCTATTGGCTAGTATTTTGGTGAGAATTTTTGCATCCATGTTCATCAGGGATATTGGTCTGTAGTTCTCCTTTTTGATGGGGTCTTTGTCTGGTTTTGGGATCAAGGTAATGCTGGCCTCATAAAATGAGTTTGGAAGTTTTCCTTCCATTTCTATTTTTTGGAACAGTTTCAGAAGAATAGGTATTCATTCTTCTTGAAATGTTTGGTAGAATTCCCCTGGGAAGCCATCTGGCCCTGGGCTTTTGTTTTTTGGGAGATTTTTGATGACTGCTTCAATTTCCTTAGTGGTTATAGGTCTGTTCAGGTTTTCTATTTCATCCTGGTTCAGTTTTGGTAGTTGATACATCTCTAGGAATGCATCCATCTCTTCCAGATTATCTAATTTGCTGGCATAGAGTTGCTCATAATATGTTCTTATAATTGTTTGTATTTCTTTGGTGTTGGTTGTGATCTCTCCTCTTTCATTCATGATTTTGTTGATTTGGGTCATTTCTCTTCTTTTTGATAAGTCTGGCCAGGGGTTTATCAATCTTGTTAATTCTTTCAAAGAACCAGCTCCTAGTTTCGTTGATCTGTTCTACTGTTCTTTTAGTTTCTATTTCATTGATTTCTGCTCTGATCTTTATGATTTCTCTTCTCCTGCTGGGTTTAGGCTTTATTTGCTGTTCTTTCTCCAGCTCCTTTAGGTGTAGGGTTAGGTTGTGTACTTGAGACCTTTCTTGTTTCTTGAGAAAGGCTTGTATTGCTATATACTTTCCTCTTAGGACTGCCTTTGCTGCATCCCAAAGATTTTGAACAGTTGTGTTTTCATTTTCATTGGTTTCCATGAATTTTTTTAATTCTTCTTTAATTTCCTGGTTGACCCATTCATTCTTTAGTAGTGTGCTCTTTAGCCTCCATGTATTTCAGTTCTTTCCGACTTTCGTCTTGTGATTGAGTTCTAGTTTCAAAGCATTGTGGTCTGAAAATAGGCAGGGAATGATCCCAACCTTTTGGTACTGGTTGAGACCTGATTTATGACCTAGGATGTGATCTATTCTGGAGAATGTTCCATGGGCACTAGAGAAGAATGTGTATTCTGTTGCTTTGGGGTGGAATGTTCTGAATATGTCTGTGAAGTTTATTTGATCCAGTGTGTCATTTAAAGTCTTTATTTCCTTGTTAATCTTTTGCTTAGACGATCTGTCCATTTCAGTGAGGGGGATGTTAAAGTCCCCCACTATTATTGTATTGTTGTCGATGTGTTTCTTTGCTTTTGTTATTAATTGCCTTATATAATTGGCTGCTCCCATGTTAGGGGCATAGATATTTACAATTGTTAGATCTTCTTGTTGGATAGATCCTTTAAGTATGATATAGTGTCCTTCCTCATCTCTTATTACAGTCTTTGGTTTAAAATCTAATTTGTCTGATATAAGGATTGCCACCCCAGCTTTCTTTTGGAGTCCATTAGCATGGTAAATGGTTTTCCACCCCCTCACTTTCAATCTGGGGGTGTCTTTGGTTCTAAAATGAGTCTCTTGCAGACAGCATATCGATAGGTCTTGTTTTTTAATCCAGTCTGATAGCCTGTGTCTTTTGATTGGGGCATTGAGCCCATTTACATTCAGGGTAACTATTGAAAGATAGGAATTTAGTGCCATTGTATTGCCTGTAAGGTGACTGTTACCGTATATTGTCTGTGTTCCTTTCTGGTCTATGTTGCTTTTAGGCTCTCTCTTTGCTTAGAGGACCCCTTTCAAGATTTCCTGTAGGGCTGGTTTTGTGTTTGCAAATTCCTTTAGTTTTTGTTTGTCCTGGAAGCTTTTTATCTCTCCTTCAATTTTCAATGACAGCCTAGCTGGATAGAGTATTCTTGGCTGCATAGTTTTCTCATTTAGTGCTCTGAATATATCCTGCCAGTCCTTTCTGGCCTGCCAGGTCTCTGTGGATAGGTCTGTTGCCAGTCTAATGTTTCTACCATTGTAGGTTACATATCTCTTCTCCCGAGCTGCTTTCAGGATTTTCTCTTTGTCTATGAGACTCGTAAGTTTTACTATTAGATGTCGGGGTGTTGACCTATTTTTATTGATTTTGAGAGGGGTTCTCTGTGCTTCTTGGATTTTGATGCCTGTTTCCTTCCCCAAATTAGGGAAGTTCTCTGCTATAATTTGCTCCATTATACCTTCTGCCCCTCTCTCTCTTTCTTCTTCTTCTGGGATCCCAATTATTCTAATGTTGTTTCGTCTTACGGTATTGCTTATCTCTCGAATTCTGCCCTTGTGATCCAGTAGTTGTTTATCTCTGTTTTTCTCAGCTTCTTTATTTTCCATCATTTCATCTTCTATATTACTGATTCTCTCTTCTGCCTCATTTATTCTAGCACTTAGCGCCCCCATTTTTGATTGCACCTATTAATAGCCTTTTTTATTTCGACTTGGTTGGATTTTAGCTCTTTTACTTCTCCAGAAAGGGTTTCTCTAATAACTTCCATATTTTTTTCAAGCCCAGCTAGTATCTTTAAAGTGATGATTCTGAACTCTAGATCTGACATCGTAGTAATGTCCGTATTGATTAGGTCCCTGGCATTCGGTACTACCTCTTGTTCTTTTTGTTGAGGTGATTTTTTCCGTCTTGTCATTTTGTGCAGAGGAGAATAGATTAATGAGAGAACAAAATGCTAGCAGAGTAACCACGTCCCCAGAAAATATACTCTAAACAAATCAGAAAAGACCTGAAGCAATGGGATAAGAAAGGGAAAGAGAGAAAAAAGAAAAAGAAAAAAAAGAAAAAGAAAAAGATAAAGATAAAAGCAAAGACAAACAAAACAAAACAACAACAAGAACAAAAAAAACCAGAATGTGATCAAATATGATCAGGCTGGTATATAGATCAGTGCCACACACTAGATCTGGGGTGTATTTTGGTCTTTTAGAAGAAAGTGCTTCCCAAAATTTTAAAGAAAGAAAAACTTATATATGTACAAAAATAAGGGTTGATAGGATGAAGGGATGGAATATGACTGTAAAAATGGAAATTATAAAAAATTTTATAAAAGGAATTGATAAGAAGTTGTTTGAAAAAAGAAAGAAGAGGGTTTAAAAAAAGAAAAAAGAAAAAGAAAGAAAAAAAAAGGGAGAGGATGTGATCAGGCAGGGGAATAGAAAACACCATATACTAGAGATTTAGGGTATATTTTAATCTGTTAGAAGAAACTATCTCAAAATTTTAAAGAGAGAACAACTTATATATATATAAGCCAAAAATATGGGTAACTACTATGAAGGGATAGAATATGACTCTAAAAATGAAAAATAAAAATGTTTTTTTTTTTAAAAAAGGGATTGATAAGATGTTGGTTGAAAAAGGGAAAAAGAAAAATTCAAAAAGAAATAAAAAGACAAAAAGACAGGTAAAAAAAAATTAACTTTAAAAGACTAAAGAATCATGGTAAAAAAGCCGTGAATTCTATGTGCAGTAGCCCCCTAGCGCTGGAGTTCTGCCATTCTCATTGATCGGTAAACTTGGTCTTGGCCGGCTGTTCTCGCTGATCTTCTGGGGAGGGGCCTGTTGCCGTGGTTTCCAAATGTCTCTGCCGGAGGCGGAATTGCCCCGCCCTTGCCCCCTCCCGGCTAAGTAATCTGCTCGGGTTTGCTCTCCGGGGCTTTTGTTCCCTGCGAGCTTTCCGTACAGCTTTCGAGGCGGAGAGTGAAAATGGCGGCCTCCCAATCTCTGCCCCGGAGGAGCCGAGAACTCGGGCCCCGCTCCTCAGTGAGCCCCCAGAGAAAAGCCGCCAGTCACTCCCGTCTCCCCGGTCTCCGGCCGCTCTCCGTGCTCACCTGACCTTTGACCGCGTGTTTCTATCTCTGGCACCCGACCCCGGGTGGAGTCTCCAAACCCAGCAGATCCCTGCGGTGCACCCCCCCGCGGCTCCCCCCGGGGGAGGAAGGTGAGTCTCCCCGGATCTGCCGCTTGTTGGGTCCCTGCTGGAGGAGCAGGGGCCCCACTGGGCCCCGGATCACGGTTTATGGCCACCCCGAGCTGAGAGCCCGCGCCTGGGCTCCGCCTCTGCAGCCGGCTTCCCTGCTCCGTTACCTGGGAGCTCTGTCGCACTCAGGCACCCCGGTCTTTCTGTGACCCCGAGGGTCCTGAGACCACACTGTCCCGGAGGGTTCCACCCCCTGCTTAGCCACCGGAGTGACGTCCCTCCGCGGAGCAGACTTTTAAAAGTTCCGATTTTGTGCTCCGCGGCTCTATCACTTGCCAGAAGCGGCCGACGGAGGCCCCTCCCCCGCCGTCTATCCTCCCGAATATGGCCTCGGATTCACTTCTCCGCACGTCCTACCTTCCAGAAAGTGGTCGCTTTTCTGATGAGAGAGTTGTTGCTCTTCTTTTCTTCGATCTCCTGTTGAGTTTGTAGGTGTTCAGAATGGTTTGATCCCTATCCAGCTGGATTCCTGAGAGGAGACGAAATCCAGGTCTCCTACTCCTCCGCCATCTTGCTCCGGCCCCCCACCCCCATACCAAACTTTTAATTACGTTAGAAGTTAATTAGTGTGCTATATATATATGTGTGTGTATATGTATTATGTATAAATATGGAATAACCAAATGTTGCTTATATACTTTGTGTATTACAGCGCATAAATAATATATCACCAGGGAATACAATTTCTAGAAGCAGTCCCAAATTTGATGGTCATTCTCCTCATCCTCTGGGCTATGACAGGTATGGGAATACCTACTTACTTTCGTTTGAATTCTGGATCAGAGTGAAAAGGAAAGTAAATTTCCTTAGAGATGAATTAAAACAGTAGAATCTACTTTGGGCACTAATTTCTATTTTCTACTATGTTATTTTAATTTTCTGAAACATGTAAAGATTCAAAGTAGAAATGTTTCAGAGAGGGCAAGTGATTTCCATAAGACATTGTTATGACTTGATTTTATGTATGCTTCCCCTGACCTCATTCCCTCGTTATGTCTTGTTCCTCAGAAGTGAACTCTGTGAGAACTCTTACAGGGAAACAAGCAGAACTATAGTGTAGGATGTTGCCATATATACAGGATATGATGTTGAGACTCTTGGCATGATCTGCAAATGTTTAATAGCTCAGCATAATATTATGTAAGCTGTGTTCGAGGACAAGGAAACTTTCAAAACAAATAGAAATATGACTAGTAGATGTTTGTGAGCTGTTGTATTGAAGGAGTCAGAGAGACTTAACAGAAGTGAGAATTTAGCTCTATTTTGAATCAAATGAAGGATATATTGGTCCTGCCGTAACTTGAGATCTAGCAACAAGGACTGAAAGATCACATGTATGTACTTGTGTGTATAAATACATATGTCCATTGTTGTTACTTAAAAAGTTAAATTTGGAGCATATCAAACCTTGAAAGTAGAAGTGAATGCATAAACTATGGGCTTCCAGCTCTCCATTTCCAATGCAACTTTCCAATTCATATTCATTCCCTTTGCATTTGAGATCTTTTGCTCTAAAGAATAATGTACTGAGGGTTAAGATGGCAGAGCAATAGGGGGACCCTATGCATGCCTCGTCCCTCAAACACAGCTAGATAAATATAAAATCTTCCAAATATCTGAGAATCGATCTGAATGCTGAGAGAACAAAATGCAGAACTAGAGGGAGAAAAGAAGCCACATCATCGAAGGTAGGAGGTGCAGAGACATGATTCTGGGGAGAAAGAATCGTGGGTGCTGCAGAGGGGAGGGAGCCTTGATCTCGGAGAGAGGAGAGAGAGATAAAGATATAGATGGAAAGCACTGCCCTGGGGATTACGCAAGAGAAACACTTCCCCAAAGCCACTGACTGGGAAAGCTAGAGTGGCAAGTTTTTACAAGCAGAGAGCTCAAAGTCCGAAGTTTTAGAAGTCCCTGCCACTGCCGGGTAGAGCCTGGTGGGCATAGCAGTGGTCCTTTGGGGAAGAAGGGCAGAGCCTGGGAGTGGACAGCGTGGTCTGAAGATCCCCTGGGTTGCTGGGGGAGAAACAGTTCCCCTTCTTAGAGTGCATTTGGGAGAGGTGGCATGGCCTCTCGGGGGACAAAGTGCTGGCAGGCACCAATGTGCTGCCCCGTTCACTAGCATAGAAACAGAGACATCTGCTGAGGGCAGTAAACCTTGGGGCCAGCTTTTTGCTGCACTTTACCATAAACTCCAAGCCCCCATGTGATTATATGGCTGCTTTTCTGGGACAAACTGGCACCAGCTGCAGCATGGTGAGACCCTCCCGCAGATGATCAGTGTGGATCTGCATAGCACTGGACCCCTAAAATTTGGAGTTTTGAAACCCAACCACACTCCTGAGATAAAACACAGGAGTACTGTGCCACCTGGCAGGCAGACAGCGTGGACGCTGACAGGGTGGAGGCAGAGATCTCATGGAAGCTGGGGACACAAAAGGGGAAAAAGACTGCTCTTCTGTGAGGGCTTTCTGAAGAGTAGCAGGTGCAAACTCCCTGCTCCAGGGACAAGAGAGTGGGGCAATGCCATTTTCCCCCACCCATCAACACTGACAGACTTCAGTGAGCAACACAGCGCCGCCAGTAGAGGCTGGAGCCATCACCCCACAGGTGCATTTTTACCAGGGCAAGTCAACCTGAGAACCAGTGCAGTGGGCACCTCCCCCAGAAGACCAGCACAAACCCCTTGCATGCACCAAGTCTCCTGATCATAGAGTGTTGCAGAGCTTCAGCTCCCGTGGCAATAGGATTGGGCTTATTTTAATAAACAGACCAGAGCATACCTAGTTAAAATGCCACATACTGAACAAGGTCCAAACACTCCCCACAGCAAGCAAGGAGAAACTCTGCAGAGGACTGACCTGAGGGAAAGAGCAGCCAAAATAGAAGAGCAGAGTGCATACTCTGAAACACTTCCTGAAGCATCAGGTCCTGGAGAGTATAGGACCTTTTTTTAGTATAGCCATTACTCTCAGGAGCAAGAAATATAAACAGGCTTTCCTAACACACACAAAGAAATAGTGACCTAGACAAAATGACAAGATGGAGAAATTCACCCCAAAAGAAAGAACAAGAAGTCACAGCCAGAGATCTAATCAAAACAGATATAAGTAAAATGCCTGGGCCAGAATTTAAAACAACAATAATAAGGATACTGGCTGCACTTGAGAAAAGCATAGAAGACACTAGAGAATCCCTTACTCCAGAGATAAAAGAACTAAAAACTAGTTAGGCTGAAATAAAAAAAATGCTATACCCAAGATACAAAACCGATTGGTTGTAATGACAACAAGGACGGACAAAGAAGAGGAATGAATCAGTGATAATAGAAGATAAAATTATGGGGGTGCCTGGGTGGTGCAGTCGGTTAAGCTTCTGACTCTTGGTTTCAGCTCACGTCTTGAGATCAAGCCATGCATTGGGCTCCACGCTTAGTGCAGGGTCTGCTTGAGATTCTCTCTCCCTCTGCCCCCCTGCTCTCCCTCTCTTTCTCAAATGAATAAATAAAATATTTTTTTAAAAAAGAAGATAAAATTATGGAAAACAATAAAGCTGAAAAGAAGAGGGAAAGAAAAGTATTGGATCACAAATACAGACTTAGGGAACTCAGTGACTCCATAAAGTGTGATAACATTCCTATCATAGGAGTCCCAGGAGAAGAGAGGGAAAAGGGGACAGAAGGTTTATTTGAGCAAATTATAGGTGAAAATTTCCCTAATCTGGGGAAGGAAACAGACATCCAAATCCAGGAGGTACAGAGAACTCCCATGAAATTCAACAAAAGCCAGCCAACACTAAGACATATCTTAGCAAAATTTGCAAAATTTAGAGATAAGGAAAGAATCCTGAAAGCAGAAAGGGAAAAGAAATCCTTAACCTACAAGGGAAGACAAATCAGGCTAGCAGCAGATCTGTCCACAGGAATCTGGCAAGAGAGTGGCATGATATATTTAACATGCTGAAGGGAAAAATGTGCAGCCAATAATACTTTATCCAGCAAGGCTGTCATTCAAAATAGAAGGAGAGATAAAAAGTTTCCCATACAAACAAAACCCAAAGGAGTTCCTGACCACTAAACCTGTCCTGCAAGAAATATTAAAGGGGACCCTTTCTGTGGGAAGGAAAGACCAAAAGTAACAAAGACTAGAAAGGAACAGAGAAAATCTCCAGAAACAGTGACTTTACAGGAAGACAATGGCACTGAATTCTTATCTATCAATAATTACTCTGAATGTAAGTGGACTAAATGCTCCAATCAAAAGATAGACGGTATCAGAAGGGACAAAAAAAACAAGACCCATCTATATGCTGCTTCCAAGAGACCCATTTTAGACCTAAAGACACCTCCAGATTGAAAATGAGGGGATGGAAAACCATCTATCATGCTAATGGACATCAAAAGAAAGCCGGAGTAGCCATACTTATAGCAGACAAACTAGATATTAAACCAAAGACTGTAACAAGAGATGAAGAAGGGCACTATATCATAATTAAGGGGTCTATGCAACAAGAAGATCCAACAATTGTAAATATTTATGCCCCCAACCTGGGAGTACCCAAATATATGAATCAATTAATAACAAACATAAAGAAACTCATTGATAATATATAATAATAGTAGGGGACTCTAAGAACCTTCATACAGCAATGGGCAGATCATCTAAGCAGAAAATCAACAAGGAAACAGTGGCTTTGAATGATACACTGGACCAGATGGACTTAACAGGTATATTCAGAACATTTCATCCTAAAGCAGCATAATACACATTCTTTTCGAGTGCACATGGAACATTCTCCAGAATAGATCACATACTGGGTCACAAATCAGGCCTCAACAAGTACAAAAAGATTGAGATCATACCACTCATATTTCAGATCACAATGCTGTAAAACTTGAAGTCAACCACAAGAAAAAACTTGGAAAGACCACAAATACATGGAGGTTAAAGAACATCCAACTAAAGAATGACTAGGTTAACCAAGAAATTAAAGAAGAAATAAAAAAATGCATGGAAGCAAATGAAAATGAAAACATGGCAGTCCAAAACCTTTGGGATGCAGCAGAGGTGGTCCTAAGAGGGAAGTACATAGCAATACAGGCCTACCTTAAGAAGCAAGGAAAGTTTCAAATACACAACCTAACTTTATACCTAATGGAGCTAGAAGAGGAACAGGAAATAAAGCCTAAATCCATCAGAAAAAGGGAAATAATAAAGATTAGAGCAGAAATAAACAATATAGAAACAAACAAAAAACAGTAGAACAGATCAATGAAACCAAGAGCTAGTTCTTTGAAAGAATTAATAAAATTGATAAACTCCTATCCAGACTTACCAAAAAGAAAAAAGACCCAAATAAATAAAATCACGAACGAGGAGAGATCACAACCAACACCACAGAAATAGAAATAATTATAAGAGAATATTATGCGAAATTATATGCCAACAAATTGGGCAATCTGGATGAAATAGATAAATTCCTAGAAACATACAAACTACCAAAACTGAATCCAACAGTACATTAAAAGAATTATTCATCACGATCAAGTGGGATTTATTCCTGGGCTGCAGAGGTGTTCAATATTCACAAATCAATCAATGGATAAAAGAAAGCATAAGAACTACATTAATAAAAGAAAGGATAAGAACCATATGATCCTTTCAATAGATGCCAAAAAAGCATTTGACAAAATACAGCATCCATTCTTGATAAAAACCCTCAACAAAGTAGGGATAGGTGGAACATACCTCAACATCATAAAGGTCATATACGAAAGACCCACAGCTAATATCATCCTCAATGGGGAAAAACTGAGAGCTTTTCCCCTGAGGTCAGGAACACAAGAGAGATATCCACTATCACCACTGTTATTCAACATAGAACCAGAAGTCTTAGCCTCAACAGTCAGACAACAAAAAGAAATAAAAGGCCCTCAAATCAACAAGGAAGAAGTCAACTTTCACTATTCGCAGATGACATACTTTAACCAAAAAATTACTAGAATTGATAACATGAGTTCAGCAAAGTCACAGGACATAAAATCAACGTAGAGAAATTTCTTACATTTCTATACACCAATAATGAAGCAGCAGAATGAGAAATTGAGGAATAGATCCTATTTACAATTGTACCAAAAACAGTAAGATACCTATGAATAAAGCTAATCAAAGAGGTAAAAGATCTGTACTCTGAAAACTATACAAAACTTATGAAAGATATTGAAGAGGACTCAAAGAAATGGAAAAACATTCCATGCTCATGGATTGGAAGAACAAATATTGTTAAAATGTCTATACCACCCAAAGCAATCTACACATTCAGTATCAAAACACCTATCAATCCCTACAATGGAATATTAGCCATCAAAAAGAATGAAATCTTGGGCACCTGAGTGGCTCAGTCGTTAAGCGTCTGCCTTCGGCTCAGGTCATGATCCCAGAGTCCTGGGATCGAGCCCTGCATTGGGCTCCCTGCTCGGCGGGAAGCCTGCTTCTCCCTCTCCCACTCCCCTGCTTGTGTTCCCTTTCTCGCTGTGTCTCTGTCAAATAAATAAAATCTTAAAAAAAAAAAGGAAAGAATGAAATCTTGTCATTTGCAATGATGTGGATGGAGCTAGAGTGTAGTATGCTAAGCAAGATAACTCAGAGAAAGACAAATACCATATGATTTCACTCATATGCGGAATTTAAGAAACAAAACAGATTAACATAGGGGAGGGAAAACAAACAAAAGAGAGAGGGAAGCAAATCATAAGAGACTCTTAACTATAGAAAACAAACTGAGGGTTGATGGAGGGAGGTGTGTGGGGGAAGGGCTAGATGGATGATGGGTATTAAGGAGGACACTTGTTAAGATGAGCACTGGGTGTTACTTGTAAGTCATGAATCACTAAAATTCTACTCCTGAAACCAATTTTACCATATATGTTAACTAACTAGAATTTAAATAAAAACTTGAAATCAACCAAAAAATAAAGAATAATGTACTTAACTACCCTGGTGATAACAAAATTGTCAGGTCCCCTTTCAGGAAGGTCTATTACCAGGGCTTATTGGTGATCACTTTTAGGAAAATCCTGTCCAGGTATCGGATGTTTTCATTGCTCACTTATTTGTGAAATAATAAATGTTGATGGTTTATAGACATGTAGGCAGCTCACTTGCTCTGTTATTGAGAAATAGACATTACTTTTTAAAAATGTGTGGGTGTGGTGTGATTTTTCTTGACTGATATTTAAGATAAATTCTAAACATATAGGGGAAAAGATACCATAACTGAAAATTATTTTGGAAATTTTACCATGGTTCATTTTGGAAAAGATTATACACCATGAATTAGGCTCATCAGTACTGGATTAAAGAACTCCTCAAGAGTAGGTTCTAAGGGACAAAGTCATCACACCCCAGTGGCTCAGAGAGACAGGAGTATAGCACTTGGGTGCCCATCACCCACTCAGGGTCTGGCCTGATGTCCTCTTTGGAGGGTCATTAGTTTAATATAAGAAGTTCACATTTTATTTTCTTTTTGATGCTAATATAAAAACTTGTAAGTTTAATTTTATTGCTTTTGTGGCCCTATTGGATTTTAACTTGTATAAACTTTTGTGTTTTTTCTTTTTCTTTTCTTTTTTTTTTTAAGATTTTTAAAAATTTATTTATTTGAGAGAGAGAGAGAGAGCGAGAGAGAGAGCGCAAAAGGGGGTAGGGTTAGAGGGAGAAGCAGACTCCCCACAGAGCAGGGAGCCCGATGTGGGACTTGATCCCGGGACTCCGGGATCATGACCTGAGCCGAAGGCAGTCGCCTAACCAACTGAGCCACCCAGGCGCCCCTTTTGTGTTTTTTCTAAGATTTGTAACAAAAATATAGCTTGTCCTATATTTGTACAAACTTACTTACGAAAATATTCTTTGGGCAAGTAAGAATAGTTTACTTTTTAAAAGGGTGTACATATATAAGTTGACCTATATTTTTATTTTTTTTTAAGATTTTATTTATTTATTTGACAGGGAGAGAAAGACAGCCAGAGAGGGAACACAAGCAGGGGGAGTGGGATAGGGAGAAGCAGGCTTCCCGCGGAGCAGGGAGCCCGATGTGGGGCTCGATCCCAGGACCCTGGGATCATGACCTGAGCTAAAGGCAGATGCCTAACGACTGAGCCACCCAGGTGCCCCTGTACCTATATTTTTAATTTGGAGTCTAGATATTCATGGAAGTGATTTCTCAATTCTGTATTTCACTTCTTCCCTCCTTATCAAAAATCTGAATAAATTTTTTAAAAAAGTTCTAATTAATAATGACATGGAGCTGAAGTAGTTTGTACTATATTATAATGAGAACAGTTTTCTTAGGTTCCTTATAGTGTGGCTAAAATCAGTTTTAGAAGGAGAATTTCATAAATGATGAAACAACAAAAAAACATATGTATACACACAAACACAGAGCTAGGCTAGTGGTATGGTTTGAATATGTGCCCCCAGGATAAAGACTTTGTAATTGAGTAAACATATTTAGAGAGAGTTTGGTGGTAAAGTTCTTAATTTTTAGTTAATTTTAAGCATTTGCTAATGGCACTAAAATATTTTTTTTTTTTAAGATTTATTTATTTATTTTAGGGAGAGAGAGAGAGCATGAGTGGGAGGGGCAGAGGGAGAGGGAGAGAGAGCTTCAAGCAGACTCAGAGCTGAGCACGGAGCCCAACGTGGGGCTCGATCTCACAACCCTGAGATCATGACCTGAGCCAAAATCAAGAGTAGGACACTTAACTGACTGAACCACCCAGGCGCCCCATTATTTCAGTATAAACTTAGGTTTTTGTGAAAATCAGATGGAAAAACAAAAGTATTAAATACGGAAATGATGTGGTTTCTTTTGATTCTCTTGTTTGATGTTAATTTCTCCGTCACTTTTAAGATGTTAGAAAGTTTTACAAATGGAAACGTCCATAGAAGTCAGGGGTTCCAGCATTTATCCAGAGCACCTCCCTGTGAAACCTCTCCTACAAGAGTCTTTCTAGACTATGTATCAACACCCAGTGGCAGAAAACTCATATGTCGTATTCTGGTACCATACCTTTCTAATTGCCTGTCATTTTTCACCATATTGATTAGAAATATGACTCCTAGAAAAGCTTATCAGCTGGCCCTTATTTTGTCTTGTGCATCCTGGGAGAATGTATTCTTCGTCTTCATGTCTCAGCTCTCTGAATATTTGAAGGGGGAAACCATGAAGACTTAAGCTGAGTTCATGGAACCATTTCTTGTGTCTGAGGGTCTTATATCATCATGATTCCCTTTCCCATCCAGGTTCTCAGCATCCCTTTTAAAAAGTAGAGCTGTTATCCAGAAATGGACAAGCTGTTTGGAATATGGTCTGACCACATTAGAGTAAAAAGGTTCATATCTTCTGCATACATTTTTCTTAACTTGAGATTGCATTCATGCTCTGGACACTGCAATTCCTTTTGTATCAGGAAATAAAGTGATTTTAAAAATGGCTTCATTTTTATTAAATATTAGACTTGAGTGTCTTCATCTTAATTGATTGTTGCACAGAATAAGCTGATGTTGCTTTGAGCATTTTGTTTCCCCTGATGAATAATCATGGACTACATTGTGGTTCTTGGTAAAAGTGAGAGTGTTGGTCTTCTTGAGTCCACTGCTGTGTGTAGTCCTGAGCTTTGTGAACCCTCAGGTAAAGCTCTCTTCTCCTTTATCACCAGGTCATCCCGCTCCTCCTATGTGGATGAGGACTGTGACTCGTTGGCCCTCTGTGACCCTATGCAGAGGATGAATTGTGAGGTGGACAGCCTTCCCGAGAGCTGCTTCGACAGCGGCTTGTCTACGCTGAGAGACTCCAACGGATATGACTCGGAGGTGGAATACAAGCACCAGAGGGGACTTCAGAGGTCACATGGCACACAGGAGAGCCTTGGGGGCGATGCTTCAGACATAGATGTAAGCCCCAGAAATCACTGTCTCCTGGGCTGTACCTTCGATAGAAATCTGTCACCCTGTTTGACTTGTATCTGTCATGGGAATACGACCTAAAGGTTATAAATATGAAACATAGTCAGTAGAACGTTTTTTTTTTCTCCACCAGAGTAGGGAGAAATTTCCACAGATTGCCATTTGGGGCTACTCTGTTCCGTAACAGCAATGACTATAGATTCAGCTGCCTATTTTTCTTCTCTTTAATCCATGATGTATATGTGTAATGAGAGACTTTGTTTTTTAATGGCTGACTAAAAAAACAACAACAAACAAACCAGGTTCCTGATCTAAGGGATGAAGAGACGTTTGGTGCAGATGGTGTGGCCACCATGTTAGACTGGAAACCCCAGGGGTCCGCTAGTGAGGGCAGCATCATCAGTTCTTCAAGAAAGCCCATCTCGGCTCTGTCACCACAGGTAGGTAGTTTCAGAGTTATTTTATTCATGAGCACTGTGAATTTTCGGTGCTGTATAACTTACTAGGAAGAACACTGGCACGACCTTTGTCACCCATTGTGGCTTTTTCCCCCTAGACAGACATGGTGGACGGCGACCCTAAGTCTTCCAGCTCACAGAAGGCTTACAAGATTGTGCTCGCTGGGGATGCTGCAGTGGGGAAGTCTAGTTTCCTCATGAGACTCTGCAAGAATGAATTTCGAGGAAATACCAGTGCCACCCTGGGTATGGTTCCTTCTTCCATCAGTAATGGGGAAATGACCTTCTTTTAGCTTGATCTTGTTTTCCTTAGAGATTAGATAAACAGATACACAGGTCTCTCTGTATACATATATAACATATAGGGATATGTATGTGTGTATGTGTGTGTGTGTGCCCTTGTCTATAGCATGGTCTTCTTCTGTTTTGGCGAAGACCTAACTTTAGGAAAAGAAAACCGACAAAGATATCCACTTAGTCAGTCAGAGCAACCAGACCAAGTTTAGAACCAGAGACGACAGATTCATTTATTCAGCAAACATTTCCTGAATTCTGTTGTGAGCCGGATACTGTTGTAGGTGCTGAGGACACACAATGAACAGAGTCAACTAAATCCCAGCCTGCAAGGAAACTTCATCCCAAAGGAGGGCAATGGGTGAAAATAAAATAATTTGAAATTTGGAGAGAGGCAGTTTTTACTGCACCAGGGAAAGCTTTTCTGATAAGATGCCATTTGATGTTGATAAAGTGACCTTCTTGATGGCCACTTTGTCATGGTCAAGATCATAGCCAGGTGTATGATCCCTCCCCCTCCTTTACAACGGAATACATGAGTAAACACTCATGAGAACGGGAGAAGAAGTGTCCTGATTTCCCAAATTTGCATAATAATCAGTAAAAGGAGTTGAGGGTATGCAAGTTATCATTCACCTTTCTTCTTTATCTAAAGAGTTCTTATTTTGATGACTAGAAATATTAGAACAGATTAATTACCCTCTTCACAATGGGCGTCTTTGTAAATTTATGGTTCTTCATGATACCTTTCAAGATAACAAAGCTGAAAGTTCACTTTAATTTGATTCGTAAAAAGACCACGGTGTTTTGTTCAGTTGCTAAAGAGCATATATACATATCTCATATGTATCCACACACAGATACGTACACACATACACATATTAATGTGCACACAAGCACACACATGTAAACACGGAGACATACCCGAGTTCATCTAATTACACGGGCAAATAGAACATAGGTTTTCCTTTTCTCTGTAGATTAAATCCTCCCCCAAGTTAGCCACCCTGCAGGTGGTGCATCTGTGCACACATGTGTGGTCTGACTTGTAATTAGTAGTTGAAGGCCACCCTCCTTGAAGGGCCACATTCCTCCCTCTCTACCTCATCAGCTTCGGCTTGCCAGCTTTTGTCTTATCTACAGAGGGCTTGAGAGTAAAACCCAGTGGAATTATTTACATCATGTTCCCCATGTTCTCTTGTAATTCCTTTTCAGGAGTCGATTTTCAGATGAAAACTCTCATTGTGGACGGAGAGCGAACAGTCCTGCAGCTCTGGGACACGGCCGGTCAGGAGAGGCAAGTGCTTTCCACAGCGCAGCGGGCTCGGCTTTGGTTTGCATAGACGGGCCTCGTGGCACACTTGGTGGTTTTTAATGCTCATAATCCTGTAATGATAATACACTGTATAATTACATAGTATATTAGGATTTCAGGAATGCTTGCATGTTTCCACATTCTTTCCTCCTCCATTTACCTGTCAGTTGTGTGTGGAGATCATTAGGCTTCCTCTGAGCTGCTGTTCAGTTGGGAAAAGGGGAGTGCCCTCTCTGAACAAGAGAATTTAGGTCACATGTCAGTGTGAAGAGTACTTAGCCAAGCTCAATGAAAGATGGACGAGGGAATCTGTTAGCTCCCCTCAGTTCAAGGGCAGAGGCCCGAACTAAACAGAAAACTCACGTCTGGTGACGTTGCCTTCTCTTGCGTTCATTGCTGATGACCGGAAGCATCAAGCATACGTTTTAATCCTGCCTCACTCTTTGGAAAGAGCATCTCTCCACTTGTTCCACTAGTGAGTATGGGTTGCAGCCCGCCTCTGTACCAGGCACTGTTCAGGCTGTGAAGATTCCACAGGAAGCAGACACAAATCCACAAAAGCTACTCACATGGAGCTCACATTCTCTTAACAGACTGAGACTTTCAACGTTTAAAAAACATTTGTGGTCAACATGGCCTTTTTTTTTTTTTTTTTAAAGATTTTATTTATTTATTTGAGAGAGAAAATGAGAGACAGAGAGCATGAGAGGGAGGAGGGTCAGAGGGAGAAGCAGACTCCCTGCCGAGCAGGGAGCCCGATGCGGGACTCGATCCCGGGACTCCAGGATCATGACCTGAGCTGAAGGCAGTCGCCCAACCAACTGAGCCACCCAGGCGCCCCCAACATGGCCTTTTTTAAGATGCTATAAAATATTGCGGTTGGCTTAGAGTTGGGACATATATGTTGAGGTATGCTCTTCCCCTAGCGAACCGCCCCGCACCCCACAGGTATAAAGCTTCTGGCATGCTGTGGTACTCCACATTGTTAGGTCGTCTTCCACGCCACCCCCACAGTACTCCCTTCCCACTCCCCAAACCACGATGTTCTCTCTTGTGTATCTCCTTCCCTGTGTCCCATGTGTGGGTTTGGAAGCTTGTTGACGGGGCTGAAATTTTTAAGAAATTATGCTCTCAGCGTTGTCCTGGTTATCCTTTGGGGTTTGTAGACATTCTTGGGATTGTTTGATGGAGAAACTGCTTGGCTCTCATAGATCACACCCCAAATTATTCTGTTAGCTTCCACTGAGTCATTCCAGTCGTCCACGGTAGCTCTGTCACAGTGCCAGGTTGCCATGAGATTCTTCCAGATGGGGGCTTATCTTAGAAGATGAGAAAAAAGGGAGCATAAAAGAGATGAAGAAGGGGCAGCACCTGACCAACAGACTGATTAGAACCATTATTTACATGCTTTTCTCTCTGCCAGATTCAGAAGTATCGCCAAGTCTTACTTCAGAAGAGCAGATGGTGTTCTGCTACTGTACGATGTTACGTGCGAGAAAAGCTTTCTCAATGTACGAGAATGGGTGGACATGATTGAGGTAAGACATCAAAACCAAGGAACAAAAAATTACACCGGCGTCACAGACCATCTTAGAAAACGCGATTTCTCTTCTTTGTTGAAGTGCACACCATTAGAGATCCAGGCTCGTCAGGAAGGACTGGATGTGAGAGGGGGAGTGTCTCATGGCACTTGGCAGTATTGGTCTCTTCCTCACTAGCTGGGCGAGTTTCCACAGAGCCATGGATACCACAGAAGGGAGTTTCTGGGAATAAAACTTCCGGTTTTCTTACAGATAAAATCAGAACCCCTTATGGTATTTTAAACATGGTAACATCTGTGCTTTTTTTTTTCCCTTTGGTTAAATGAGATGGTGTCTTTCATCTGAGGAGCTTTCATATCCTTTGGTTTCATGGTAAATAATTTCTAAAAGTAGGAAATGATTTTGACCACAGTTAGTATGCTTCCAACGGTTAATAATTAACATAAAACTACAGTTCAAGCTGTCGTTCAGTATACTCTCTTGGAAAAAAAAACAGTGGCTAATATAATTTTTCAATTAAGTGTATTATCTCTAATCTTTAATAGTCATTAAACAGTGCAATGTTGGCTAAACAGAGAACTGATTGTTATATATCAGGTTAGCTTCTAGATTCTTCTGTTGGGCCTATTTCATACCATTTAAAAAAACAGAATTAATGTTCTCTTTCTAACTAAAGAAGTGATGTGAGATGTGCATTTTGTTCTACGAAAATAGGACCTAAAATTATTATAAATATGATGGAAGTGTGTTGACATTTATGTAGCATTTTTATTTCACGAAATTTCCACATGTTATATTCATCTCTGTAACATATCTGAGGAAAGAAGTGAGAAGTGTAATGTTACTCTCACTTTTTATGAGAAACCCGAGGCAGAGAAAGTATATGGCCCTGGCTTGTGGTTATTTAGAGGGCAGGGGTTGAATGGGGCCTTGGATCTCCTGATTCAACCCTGGTTGCTGCTCTGGTAGAGCACCAGAGGAAGCAGTGTGTTGAGAAAAGAAGCTTTTGGTGTCCAGAGAGGAGTTCCAAGGTGCATTTAGTGCACAGAGGAGAAGCATCTGCTCAAGGGAACAGACGTACCTCCCTGGGATAGAGCAATGAGTCCAGAGAGTAACATAATCCCCACAGACTCGTACCCACAGATATTTAAAATCCACGGCAAAACTTTTTATTGTTAAAACTTTTGTACTTAGTCTGCATTTTAAGTCCTTGGATTATGTGCAAGGCCAGGAGGCCCAAAGGCAAGGTCAGCCAGTGTTGAAATAGCCCTTAGTGACCAGCCATGGTGTGTGCCGGGACCCGTAATTTGCCATCATTTGCTAATCACCTACACGTGGTAAGTGACCTTTTCAGCTCTGTGGATCACCTTTCACACGGTCTGAAAAGGACGAAAACTATGTTCAAGATGAATTCTTGAATTTGCCATGGGGAAAAATTAGATACCACTTGGCATTTGACTTTCACCTTCGGGAAAAATGGGCATGATAAACCTCTGCCATGGCTCAGCCTTTGTAATTTGAGGAAATTCTGTGAGGAAATTCTATACGTGGCCACTCTAAATACAGGTGGAAACTGAGAGTGTGATTGTTGGGGTAGGCTGGAGGGCTGAGGGGTAGTAGAAGGTCAGTGATGAATTAATAATTAATACACTTCGATAAAAACCACTGGGTTATACAGTCCTACAATAAAGCCGTGGGTAAAATAAAACGAAGGCCATTTACTTACCTGTTGTGAGTAATGTATTGGTTGAATACTTGGGTGAACATTGAATGGAGGAGACACTTGAGATGTGAGATCTCTTCCCGACTTACACATTGTGGAGAATTTTTGGAGAGCTTCCTTTGTGCACGTTCCAGAGCCTGCAATGCGCCCATAGTCAGGGAGCTTGCACCCGAGGAGGGGAAACATAACAAGCAACAAACAAATAAAATAAATGAAATGATAGAATATGATAAATATTGTGGAAACGAGAAGAAGGCAGGGTAAAGGGCCTGATGGTGTGGTCAGGGCAGCCTCCCTGGAAGGTGGTGTTGGAGTCAAGACTTTAAGGAGTTGTCCGTATTTACTGGAATAACTTTGGGAAATCCTTTAGAAGCTTGGGTTCTTGGCTCACTTAAGGGAGTATATGTTGAGTGGCTTCCAAAGGTTGCCCACTTGGAACCTGAACAGTTTACCAAAGAACACAATTAATGAACACCTCAATGGACGGAACACCTAGTTTTGGAGAGCGCCCTTCATTCCCTTCCCCTCTCTGCTGTTACTGCACTCCAGTGCCCTCGGTTGGAGAATGGTCTGAAGAGAAAGGAAATCGAATGTAATGCCATCGTTTTTAAGGCTCATTTCTTGATCCTGGGGCAGGGGTAGCCGCGAACTGAAAGCACAGCTGGTACCCGTAGGCACTGCGGAAGGTCACTTCCACATGCCCTGGTCAGGGCTGCCACTGCCCTGGCCTAGGAACCAGAACACTGTTTTTCTGGGCCAGTCAGGTTGTCATCCTCTGTTCTCTTCAGAGCCTGCGGAGGTGTGGTGTGCCCTCACTAACCCCTTCATTTTACCAGTGGGGAAACTGAGGCAGAAACATGCAGCATTTCGCCTGATTTCAGGCCCTGTGTGGACCGGGGACTTTGCCTAAGCTGATTTGAGAGCATTAGCCTTAGAATCGATTCCTTCGAATGATTGGTAATTGACTCCTCGTAAGAAAAATGTTGACCTTTGGGACCTTCACATTTTGCTTTTGTTGTAAACCAGATTGCAGTGAGTGTGGAACTTGCAAGCTCTGTTTTTATCCCCTGATGGCTGAGGGATTTCCTGTGTGTTTTGTACCTGAGATAATGAAGTTGACTTGTCATCAGCACCGTTTGGAGTGAAAGTCGCAGAAAATTGTGTGGGTGCCATGGCCCCGTATAATTCTGTGCTCATGCCCCTTGAGTTCATATTGGTTCGTATGGTGGCAGGGATGATGGGGAGTATTTGGACCGTGGCCCCGGCCTTTGCAAGATCTTGTTTAACCTCTCTGAATTTCAGTGGTCTCACCTGGCGATGGGAAGAAGTTTGGCTCTTTGTAGAGAGATTTTGAGGCTTGAAGATATTACCTGCAGGTCATGTGGCTCCCACGGGGCATTTGGAGAGTGGAAGCTGCTGTTGGTACGGCTGCTCTTGTCAGTGGAACTTGTTCACTATTTGATGAGCACACAATTATTTTCCCTCTGGCAGGATGCAACCCAGGAGAGTATTCCTATCATGTTGGTAGGAAACAAGGCTGATCTCCGTGATGCTGCCACAGCAGAGGAACAGAAGTGTGTCCCAGGATACTTGGGAGAAAAACTGGCCATGGTAAGGGCAAAAGTGGGTCTGTTGGGATAGACCTTAGCCATTCATGAGCTTTGCAGTCAGCGGCCCTTCACTTCTGTCTACATTCGCTTTCAGAGGTTCTTTGGCAAACCTCCACCCTTTTTGATGGGGCTCCTGGCCTTCTTATTCAGGCAGAACTCCCAGTGCTGCCCCCCTGCACTTTATTTATTTTATTTTTAAAATTTATTTGAGAGAGAGAGAAAGAGCACGCGTGAGCATGAATGGAGGAGTGGAGGGGCAGAGGGAGTGGGAGAAGCAGGCTCCCCACTGAGCAGGGCGCCTGATACGGGGCTTGGTCCCAGGACCTGAGCAAAGACAGACAGAACCGGCTAAGCCACCCAGGTGCCCCCACAACCCCCACCCCCGCTACACACACGTCAATGAATGTATGAATGTAAGTAATTGTACCAAGGATTAAACCCCTTATGGAGCTAAAATGATCACTTGGTCATTTTCCCCCGTTGAAGAACGTTGACAAGGAGCAGCCAGAATTATCCTGCCTTACTCCTCACCCTCAGCCGGCTCCTGGACTCCTCTGATTCTGGAATCCACGTCAAGGCAAAAGAATGGGTGTCCCGTTTAGAAAATGTGGTTTAGTTCCAGAGGGTTACTGTGCCAAAGGGCAGTGTGCTACCTGCGTGGAAGAGAGTTGGGAAACTTTTTTTTTTTTTCTCTAAGATTTATGCTTAGTTGAATAGTCTAAAATTATTTTTTGGTTATGTGCTTGTATAGAAATGAAGTTCATTTCCATCCAGTAGATTACTGGGGGTAGCGTTCATTCTCCCGTAACAACCAGTGTGTGAGACTGCTCCAGGTCCCCCTTAGGACCTGTCTTTCCCAAACAAGGCATCAGAGGTGCCGGGGGTCGGATAAGCCCACGCCATTGCAGTCTGATCTGATGCCCCTGCCTTGGTGGTGCGCGTGGGCGCACGGGGAGACTGCGCTGTAGTGCGTGCACATGAACTGTAAAAAGAAGTTTCAGTCACTGTTTTAAGTTGGAAAATCTTTCTTGTTAAATTTTAGAACTATGGACCAAACATGCTAAACATCAAAGCTAAGCAGTGAGGCACAGAAGAGATTCATTCTGCACGTTTAATCCTATGCCCTTCGTTGTGTGCTGGGGAAAGACTAGAGCAGGCAGTCCTTGTCTTCATATAGTTCATTTCTGGGGGAGATACGTATTAAACGTATGCAGTCCGCGTGCCACATTGTCCCACACGCCCCCTTAGCGCATAATTCCCGGCCACACACCGGGTTTATCCCCTCCTCAGGATTTTTGAGTTCCCAACGTTTGCTCACTTATGCATCTCGTGACCCCTACCCTCCTGCACCCTCGGGGGCAGTCTCCATGTCACCCCATAACATCCTAGCCATAGAACTCAGCAGCAGCACTACCCGTTCCCACTAGAAATCCATTCATGTTCACTGTAGGATTGTTACATATTTTCTGTGGATGCGAGGGCTCATGGGTAGAGGTCCCACTGTGGAGTCTTTTCCCCTCATTTCGTTCTCTCTCTCCATGCTCCGGAGTGGCCATGACATCCTCCCCTTACCCCCACAGGATACTGCGTCACCCACACCCAGGTCCATGGCACATGCAATTCTCCTTCCCGCAGGGACATTGTCTTGAGGCAGACACACACAAATAACTTCATCAGTTACAGTTTGGCAGGTGCAATGCAGGAAAAACACAGAGGGCTGTGAGGTTTCCTAATAGCAAGACCTAACATAACAGGGACGTGTCAGGCTTAGACAGCACTGAATCTTAACTTCAGGGGAGGATTACAGAAAAATTCAAAAGGTAGTTAGGAATCAGCCTGGAGAAGGGGGGCTGATGGGGGGAAGGGCATAATGCAGGTAATGGGAGCAGCAGGTACAAAGATCGTGAGGTTGGAGGGAATTTGGAACATTGGAGAAACAGAGGAAAGGTCAGAGTAACCGAGGCAGTGCGAGCGAGGGAGGAGGGTGGCAGGTAAAGCTAGGAGGTGGGCCGGGACTACATGGACGAGAGGCCTTGTCGGCCATGGGGAGGCATCTGAGCGTTACTTGGAGAGGAACGGGAAGCATTGAAAGGCTTGAAGCAGGAGAGTGATATCATCAGTCATCATATACATAACCCCTGGGAGGTAGAATAATAGAGCACTAGACAGTGTCTGTTGGTTTTTAGCAACATGGGGGTTGCTGAATCTTGATAGGAAAAGGTGATAGTGTGAAAGGATGCATGTTAGCTGCCGGCCCAAAGGAGACATACCTTTGATGGACATTTAATTTGTGAGTGGTTACCTTAAGCTATCATTTTTACCTCTCTCAGATTATCTGATAGAGAACGTTTGTAGCAACTGGTAGGACTGTGGGGAATAAGAACCTTAAAACATGAAATTGTGTATTGTGTTACTTTTAAGGCAAAATAAAAACCCCCTGACTAGGAGCTGTGTCTGGAATAACTCGACTCAAATTCACTGTTTTTTTTAAAGTATCGAAACTGTGAATCCAATGTCTTAGCTATTAGCATACTCAACAGGAGAATGTGTTTATTTTATTTGTGGGTTGTAAAAGCTAAAATTCCAGGAGCCTCAAATAAAGGCTTCATTTAATTGTGCCTGTTTCTTTTCTACAGACCTATGGGGCATTGTTCTGTGAAACCAGTGCCAAAGACGGCTCGAATATAGTGGAAGCTGTTCTCCACCTTGCTCGGTAAAGTGGTGTCTTATATTTGGAAAATGAAAACAGGATTGAATTTTCACGTAGTTGGTGCATATATCAGATTTCTGGGCTATGACACGAATATACATTGGAAAACACTGTCTCGTATTTCAGTAGTGGTTAGAGAAACAATCGAACACGGATTTTATAAAAACTGGTAGTGCTGCTTATTCACTGTGAACATTGGCGAAGTGCCTTTTCCGCCAAACAAAGCAGGTGCATCTGAGGTGTCGTTGACATTTCTGCAAAATGTCACCGCAGAGCTAATAGCTGACTTGCATGAATCATTTCCAGGAACCAGATTTTAAACACAAGAGACTATTATGAAATTAACTGTCTATTATGACATTTTCTGGGGTAAAGGGGAAAAAAAACACAACAAAGCAAATTGTATATCACGCCAGTTGGAAGCACTTTATTAAAATAATTACTCAGGTAATTATTAAGCTCAGGCGATGGTGTTAATAATAAATAACGTTTTGGGATGTAGATTAGAATGAAAATTACATCCTTGAGGAACTTGGATGTAAATGGGTTTTTTAATCCTTGGAGTAAATTTGATTTTTAGGAAATAACAACATTATCTGTTAGATTTATGTCTTCTGCCTAGTTTCCTGCCACAAATGAAAAGATGATTCTTTACTGGCCTAAAGAGATTAAATATCCAAAAGAAAAAAGAAAGGAAAGGAAAAAAAAAAAAGAAAATGAGCATGAACAGAATTCAGGCGATAGATCTTTAATTGCTGACAAAGTGAAGCCATAATTTTGGGTTTGTGGTTTTTTTCCTGATCATTTGTGAAATTTTACAAGAATCTTAGCTTTAGTATGACTTTTGGCCTCTTCTGCTCATATACGGTGACAAGTAGTGTTTTCAGTGCTGCTTTTCTATCAGTGACTTGGTGTTTATAGTGCTTATTAGCTGCTTAGACTGGGGCCTTGGGTGAGATCCTTGCCCTCACTTGAGAAAATCAGGAAATGGACCCCAGGACTTTAAACGGCCTGCTTGACATTAGTCTGTGGCAGGGCTTGGCACACGCCTTGGGCTCAAACTCAGAGTCTTTGGACATTATCTCCTTTGATATCTGTCCAAGAGAGAGAGCCACCTGCCCCCACCACATTTTTGTGCAAAGCAAAGACAGTGCTGTGAGTGTGACCTAGAACAGGTGGAAGAAAGGTAAACATTTAAGATTCAAGGTTAATGACGTGGTTTTAGTAGGAGAATCATGGGCTCATACCACATTTGTCCAACAAGAGCCCAAGTAAAACCTTCATAAGCTGGGTGATGTAATTGACTCCGTGCATCTGTGGGTGCGAAGGGGCTGCTGGCCATTTTGGCCAAGGAATGTTCATTCAGCAGAGGTGGGAGGAGATTCCGTGCAACACACTGAGGGTGGATTCACTGCTGAATTGGTAGGTGTTTATACTTTCTTGGGTGTTTGTACTGGTGTTTTGCTACAAGGTACCTGGGGATTCCTGGGTGGAGGTGACGTGCTTGCTGGGCTAGAGGGGTCTGGCAAGGGCCTGCAGGTCTTCAGAGCATCACTGGGCCCGAAGCTGAACCGGACCAGGCAGGGAGGACACCCTAGCTTTGGCAGTGGGGTGCTGGCCTGCTGCTCCAGCCCCGCAGAAAAGGACGCTGCACGCCAGGCCCCCTGCGAGGCTGTTGCCTCCTACCCTGCTTAATGGAGGACCGTGGTGTCAGGAGGCTCAAAGTGCGGTCTTAAATCGCCCCCCCGAACAGCTGTGGAGTCAGACAAGTCCCTGCCTCCCTCTCGGCATCTCTAATGTGTAAAATGAGGGAGGGGGCTGGAGAAAGCGACCCCCCAGGTCCTCTCTAGCTCTGCCAGTCTGTGGTTCTACATAGAACCGCCGGTACCCCACGGAATACCGGTTGCTATTTAATGCTGAATTGTCTTTATGGGGTCATATTAATGTTAAATGACTCCAGATTGCCATGGTCACACCCAGAGTGCCGAATTGATTCTCTTTATTGTATCATAAAGGTGGGAGAGGCTGTGAGCCGCCTGCGCTTTCTCCCCACCTGCTCCTGCCCCGCGCCCTGTTTCCAGTGCAGCTCGCACACAGCCTTGTGCTTCTTTACTCACCACACCTGTGTGCAGAGGCCTTTGGGTCACGAGCTCACTCTTTGGGAACCACTCATCAAGGAGTTATTTTATTGTTGTTATTGCATGATGGCCTGGTGTGAGGTCTCTGGTTTTGTCACAGTAACGATGTGTTAAATAGGAAAATTATAAATAAAGCAAATATTAATTTGCTTTATATCCTGCCTTCAGATTTGCTTGTTAAAGTGCCTAAGTCTTACATGGAAATGGTAGAGTTGCCGCAGGTGAAAAAGTTTTACATCCTGGGGCTCCTGGGTGGCTCAGTCGGTTAAGCATCTGCCTTTGGCTTAGGTCATGATCCCAGGGTCCTGGGATCGAGCCCCATGTCGGGCTCTCTGCTCAGTGGAGGGGGGGGGGTCTGCTTCTCCCTCTCCCTACTGCTCATGCTCTCTCTCTCTTGCTATCTCTTTCTGTCTCTCAAATAAATAAATAAAATACTAAAAAAAAAGTTTTACATCCTTTAGAAAGTTATGTATAATGTAAAACATGTTACGTTCTCGATTTAGATCTTGTAAGGCAATTCCCATCACGGGCACCTTTCACGCCGTGTCATGTCATAAAACGTGAACTAGACGAGTTTATGGCTTTACACTGTCGAAACAGAATTCTGTTTCGAAGGGAGGCCATGAATGTTTGGTTAACACCCGAAACTAGAAACTACAAGTACTACTTTTTCTGGAAACCTCTCAATCCCAACAAAACTGTTTTCTAGAAATGCAATTTCCCCATAATGCTGACAGGACATTTATCACAATCATTGTCCATTGGCAAGTGAATTTGCCATCACCAGAACCACGAGCTTTACACATTTTGCAGATCCAACTTCCAAAGGCATTTAATTGATTGATGGCCTGAGATTTGAAAACAAAACAAAACAAAAAAGCTCAGGTTGATGTATGTATCTGTTCAGCTCAGGAGCTGAGCCTGTTGGGATCCCATAAATCTACCCGTGAGACAGAGTCACCTAACATGCAGTTGTCAAGCATGTGGTAGTTTTTGGTGAGAAAGGCCAGTATTCCCAGCCTTAAACCTGTTGTAGGTGTTTGGAATATCTGTCTGATTTCCGTGAAGTGGGAGGGACATGCCTGCACTTATGGTGGATTAAAGAAACGAAAGGCCAGATGAACAACGTGGGTACATACTTTTCCTCCTTAATATTTGCTTTCAGGTTCAATAAAATGTCTGCATTATTGTGAGCACTCAGCCCGTGGAGGCCACATACATGGTTCAGTAGAGATACCGAGGAAATGAATATTTGCAGGCTATGCAATTTAACGAGAGGAAAAAAAAAAGAGAAAACATTTGACCAGGCAGCCAGATGATTGTAGCTTATAGAGGCCATTAGACCACCCAGAAGGGAGAGATATGGGTTGTCTTGTGAAGGTGCTATGATTATTATACCCATTGTACAGATAAGAAAGTGGAGGAGTAGAATGCTAATCAACCTGCTCAAAGTGACACAGCTGCTCAGTGGCAACATTGGGACTTGTCGCTGCCACTCTGGAGCATCAGCTTGCTGCTTCAGTGTTGGCAATCTCAGGACTGCATTCCACATTCTCTTCTTCTTTACTCTCTCTCTGCCTACTGTCTTCTACCCCCAGGGTTTCTAGAACTGTCTCTAGCTGATGACTTCTCCAATTTCTGTATTTTTAACCTCCACCTCTTTTTAAAATTCCATAACCACATCCCCACCCATCAACAAGAGGGAATCCCAAAGGCTTGACTGTATCCAGCATGTCCAAACCCTCACAGTCTGGCCTCACCTGCCTTTCTGGTTGCATCTCTTATCTTGCTTCCCAAAGGAATGATATCTGTAGACACAGCAAATGTTATTTCTAGTTGTGGCCAAGCTCTTTTATGTCTCCTTGCCTTTATGCAGGCTGTTCCTTGCACCTGGAATCTCTTTCCTCATTAAGTGGAGGTCAATTCCTGTTCTTTCAAGAGGTCCCTCCAGTGTCAAAGTGTCCATGAAGCTCCATCTCCACAAAGCCTTCCTTCCCTGCGGGCCAGCACGACTGTGGTGTACCCTTTGTATTCATGCATCACACCGTGCAAGGGACCTTGTAATGATTTGTTTAGCCTTTGTCTCTCCCTCAACGCTCACTAAGAGAGGGTCCCAGAGTTTGGCATAAATTGGGCATTTATTGAATGACCAAATGTCTGAGATGATGGAGTTAGAAGTTGTTATTAGTTTTCTGTTGTTGCTGTAACAAATTCCCACAAACATAGTCTCTTAAGCAATGCACATGTATCACGTTCCAGTTCTGGAGGTCAGGAGTCTGAAATGAGTCTTATGGAGTGTTCTAGGTTGGATTGTGTATCTTCCTTCTTTTCCTGAGTCTTTGTTTCCTCATCTGTGAAGTGAGGATAATAATGCTCACCTGTCACCTGTCAGGGTTGTGTGTGTGTTTATGTTGTGTGATTGTTTATGTGTATTAAATAAGAAAAATGTGAAAATGTATAGTACAGCGTTTATTAGCTCGCCTTCAGCAAGAATTAATTCCTCTTTTTTTTCTTCTGCTGAGATGTCTTCTTTCCAACTCATAGTATAGTGGTTTTCAAAAGTTAGCACATATCAACACCATCTGGAGTCGTGCTGACCAATTTGGTAGCCACAAGCCACAAGCAGTGTGGCGAACCCAAATCAAGATGTCTTGTAGGTACGGATTTTGAAAACAGTATAAAAATCATAAAATACTTCATTATTTTTATGGATAACATGCTAAAATGATAATATATTTGTTGTACTGAGTTAAAATATGTTAATAAAATTAAATTTACCTGTTTCTTTTTACATTTTTAAATGTGGCTACTAAAAAATTTAAGATCACATATATGGATTACATTATATTTCCATTGAACCACGTTGCTGTACTCGGAATATGCCAGTTCTTAGTAGTTTCAGGTATCTGCCCCTCTGTAACAAACTAAAACGTGGTTGCCTAAAACAACTACCACTTTTTAATTTCTTGAAATTACCAGAATGTGCTGGATCTCAGTTGGAAGGTCCCTCGACTGCTTTTGCTTGGGGTGTCTTGTGCATTTTCAGCCAGATGGCCGTGGGGCTAAGGCTCCGGCTGGGCGTCTGCCACCAGGGTCCTAGTCCTTCTGGCCACTCGTCCCCAGGGCCACTCTGTGGCCCTCTCCACTGAGGAGCCCTGGCAGCCGAGAGCAGCTTTAACACCTGGCTTGGAGTCCTAGCCTGCCAGTTCCTCTGCATTCTGTGGATCTAAGCAGTCGCAGACAGAGGCAGCACTGCGGAGGGAGAGCCCATGGTGGGGGCTCCCTAGTCTTGATGGGGGGGCCCCAGGCACTGATGGGGAAGGTGGGATTGTTTGGGGGCCTCTTGGGAATGAGCTGTCACAGTCAAGATTGCCATTCAGGGTCTTGTCTAAGGTGGGACTTCAGGGTCTGCTTGTTTCACGGGCATCCCTGAGAATACACTTGGAGGGATACTATCCCTAGGAGGTCTTCACAAGATCTTAGAGAACTTTTGCCATTGTAGCCTCTAGCTGTTAATTCTAAAAGAAATTTAGGAAGAGGCAAAAGGAAGATTTCTTCCCCCTGGATTTTAACCATTCATCATTGTCTTCATGATCTTGTATAATTCAAGAGTGGTTTTAAAGTCACATTGCTTTTGTTAAGGTCAGCAAGTGCTAGTCGGGGATGGAAGCCGGGTCCCAGAGTGCTAAGGAGTGCGCTGTGCGTGTGGCAGACTGGAAAGCATGTGAAACTGCAGGAGAGGGCAACAGTAGGTCGTGTGTGTGCGTGTGTGCACGCCCCTGTGTACACGTGTCTCGTGTGCACCTGCCTTGTGCGTGGTGAGCGTGGCCTGGTGCTCAGAGTGCAGGCGTGTGTCCAGGCCCAGCTCTGCGGCTCTCCGGTAACCAAAGGGAAACTGCTTAACCCTTTTTTTTTTTTTTTTGCCTTTGCTTCCTGACATATAAAATGGGGCCCAACAAATTCACATGGTCCTTGTGAGGATTAAGACAGTCAATACCTACAAAGCATTTAGAACAATGTCTGGATGACATACAGCAAGTGCTCAGCAGTGTTGTTTTAATTTTACAGAACCATTTCTGGTTTAGTTTTGTACCTCAGTAATTCATTTTCTCTCTGTCTCTCTCTCTCTCTGTCTCTCTCTCCCTCCCTCCCCTCCCCCGCCCCCCAGGGAAGTGAAAAAAAGGACTGATGAAGATGACAGCAAATCCATTACCAATCTGACTGGGACCAGTTCCAAAAAGTCAACCCAGATGAAGAACTGTTGCAATAGTTAAATCCCGAACATCCCTGGCCTGTCAGGTCTTCAGTCCCAGAGTACTGAGTGTCTGTGACTTGTTTGCTTCTCGCAGAGGGGTGCATCCTCCAGACACAGCCAGGTGGAAAGTTGCAGTGTGGGAATCTGAACTGTGCTCTTAGATCCTTCTGGAGCCCCGGCTCTTTGCTCTTTTTCAGTGAATGATTGAGGCCCCCTGGTTAAAAGTACTTGTCTTGTCCTTGCAGAGTCTCAAAAGATAACGTGTAAAAAAATGTTAAAAAATCACATGCTCAGGGGCGCCTGGGTGGCTCGGTCGTTGGGCGTCTGCCTTCGGCTCAGGTCACGATCCCAGGGCCCTGGGATCGAGCCCCGCATCGGGCTCCCCGCTCAGCGGGAGGCCTGCTTCTCCCTCTCCCACTCCCCCTGCTTGTGTTCCCTCTCTTACTGTCTCTCTGTCAAGTGAATAAATAAAAATCTAAAAAAAAAAAAAAAAAAAAAAAAATACATGCTCAGATCGAAGCTGTAGAAGAAAAACTCCCTGACAAAGATCCACATGGTAGCTGACTTTGTAGATAACCTAGAACTTTTTTTTTCAAATATTTGATACTAGAATACTAGTAAAAGGGGATTATCATCCTAGCTTTGCTGTTAACTAGCCTGTAGTCTCAGACCTGTTAGCAGCCCACGATAGATCTGTTTCCTCATCTGCAAAACAAGCAGCTTGGCCTTGCAGGCCTTGGCCCCTCAGATTTGGTGCACTGTACGGAGTGGGAAGGAGACCATGATGGCTCACAGTTAATAAGGACTCTGGTTAGTCATACTTTTTAAATATTGGGGTATTGATTTTTCTCATTTCTGAAACAACAGAATTTAATTGAGAAAAAAAATGGTAATGTTGTAGGCTCCAGTGGAGACAGAAAAATCTATTTTTTTATATACAAAGGAAGAAATATTTGTGTGACAAAAAGAAAAAAAAACAAGGTACTGACATCTCAACAAAGTCCATGGTTTAAATTCCATGTTAAAAATTCTAATGAAAACATAGGAGGCTACATACTAGTAAAAGTACAATGCCCAGGAAAGTTGTCACTCTTCACTTAAAAATATATACCAGCAAGTCATGGCCATGGGCTGGGGAAAGGCAGGAGCTGGAGTGATGGCTAATGGTGATGTGGTTTCTTTGGGGGGTTGAGAATGTTCTGGAATTATACTGTGATAATGGTTGCATAACTTTGTAAATATATGAAATAACACTGAATTGTTAAAAGGGTGAAGTTTATGGTATGTGAATTATATCTCATTAAAAAAAACCCAACACTACCACTTTAACATTTTGCCCAGTGAAAATGTGCATGTTTGCTTCAGACCTTCCCATCACTTACAAGCATAATCTCCAATATGGTGCAAATCCCTGAACTCCATAGTGGCCAGCATTCACTTCCTGAAATAATGAACAGTGAAAGAAATGTTATGTATGGTTTTGGAAACTCCTCTCTTCACAAGAGGCATCGTCCTTAGGAATGGGAAGTCAGAGTCCTTTGTTTAATATGACTAGTGACTCCTCCCCACGCAGCGTGGTGGGTCTTGCTCTCCTTCTAGAACCTGCAGTGCATCCAGTCTTCTCCATTGAAATGTCTCTAACAGCTGAAGGAGTCAACACCTGATCCTAGAGAAGCCTGGTTTTTGGTTTTTGGCTTTTGGTTGTCTGTGGCCTTGAACCAGTTAAATTATCCCCAACCAGAGATTTGAACTTACCTTGGTTCACATAGGTCCAGGTTCCAATTAGTCTGCTGAAAAAACCTTAAACAATAACTTATTTATTGTATTATATAAGCTAATAACATTCCTTTTTGTTGAATTAAAACAACTCCATGGAGCTGTTTTTCTCCTGTTTATGATTTTTATGATCAAATCTTTAGTTCCCTAGCTTCATTTTTTTTTTTTTAAAGTGAAAACTGACTGGATATGTTACACACCGAGATTATAAAGAGCCACAACATGCTTGAGTTTGTAAAAGCATGCCTTCTCTCTGTTGACATCTAGTTTTTTTACTGGAAAGTTTGTTCTGTCCCTGGCGACTCTACCATGCTGTTTAACAGCTTTGGTCACAGAAAAAGAAGTTTGCATTTTTGACCAGAAAGAGCCCCTCGCTGGTGGAATATTGTCAAAGTGAATGGGGGAGGATGTGGTTATTTCTGTGCCATCGTGAGATGCACATTTGGCCACGGCTGGTTGCCTCTGTGGCATCTTTGGAACCCGGGTTAGAAAGGATCTATGTGTTGCCATATGGGACACTTGTTCAGGTGTTTGGTGTACTTGCACAAAACTGTGTTTGTATAAGTGTTACTGTGTGGCCTTTATTTATTTCCCCCCTAAGTGTCTCTTTATATTTGTCTGACAGTTTGTACATAGAGTATATCTTTGATACAGAAGTATTACCTTGGCTGTTGCCTCCAGCTTGTATGGCTAGTTTACACCCACACTGATTTGGACAGAGTTTGCATGGGTGCCTTTGATAGACAAGGCAATCATCTTTATTTGAACCTGGAAAAGTATTTTGGCAACAAAATCCAAATCAGAGACTTAGAGCTCTGGTGAGCAGTCTTCTTTGAAGAGAAGTTACTTAAAAGCTCTTTCAGCTGCATTGGTGGGAAATCATCATTATCACCAACATTTCATTTCAGGAAGATGTTCTCAAAGTGTATTTTTGATAAGAAAAAAAAATTAATGTTTTTAACCTAGACTTAATGTGACACATTCACATAGTCCTGTGCAACTAACTCATCTTGACTCATTTTTTCCTTTGAGGGCTTTTAAAATCACAATTATACAGTGCTCCTTTTTTTTTTTTTATGTATCCTGACACATTGGATAATATTTTCATTTCATCATGGAAAAGAATGTTGGATAAGGAGACATTTTTCACTGTTAACTTTTAGCCTCATGCATTTTCATAATTTATTTTTTCTACTTGCTGCTTTATATGACATATGTGACATTTGATTATTTAATACCAAATGTGATTTGCATAAACCCAAGTCACACAACCCTCTTGCCGGAGATAAAATTGAGGTTAAAAGATAAAGATTTATTTTCATATTTGTACAGTGATCGGCCTCAGAGTGAAGGCTTTTGTGGGCTTTTATTGTATATATGTGTAAGAAATTTCATATGTATAAAGTAGGCCTCTGAGTATTGAATAATTGTTTCATGATTTTGATTTATATGGTTTACATTTTCATAGTATCAGCCATATTTCGTTTATACTGTTTATTTCTCTTCAAACCATTAATAATTACACCATAAAGTGTAATTTTATAGCAGTGCAAATGTCTAAGGAACTACAAATATTTTCTGCATTGTAAATTCAATAAAGCACGCTTCCTTTGGCCTTTGGGGTGTTTCCTTCAGCTTTACTGCAGGCATCCCTGAAGTAACTTTAATTCTAGGATGTGCCTGGATGAAGCCATGCCTCTAAAACACTTGTCTTCTCTGGCCTGGGCAGCTGGCTGGCTGGAGAAAAGAATGAATATGTGGCATTTGGTGCTGTGGCCCAGCCATGTCCTCTTGGCCAGCAGGGCATCAGGTCGACGAGCTTGGGGTGTGACAGCTAGAAACAGTGAGGCTTTTGTAGAAAAATTTCAGGACGTGCCCTGGCCATCCTCATGACCTCAGAGGTTAGTCCCTTTCTCTGGGACACCCATTCTACTCCTTCCATTCCCCACACTGCCCAGCCAACTCCTGCTCCTCCTCCTATTTTAGCTGAAACTTCACTTCCTTCAGGAAGTCTTCCCTCTCAGCCCCTAAACTAGGATGAGGCTGCATGCTCTCACTTGCATAGGACCCTTTTTAACTGAGCAGCATCATTATTGCCCTCGTACTTGTTGAACTAGACACCTGCCCCGAGCCCTGAGCCCTTTGTCCGCTGCTGCCTCCCTTCTGCTGTATGCAATGCTAAAATGGCTAAGCAAATAATTAACTTTAAATAAGACAGGCTTTGCAAAGAGTTTCGGCAGACACGCACAGATGCACATACGTAGTAGTCATGGATGGGGTAATAAGAGGCAGCATATTTTAATGGCCACAGGTCTGGTCTCTGCAGCCAGCCTGCCTGGGTATGAACCCAGCCTCATACTCCTACTAATGGGTTAACAGTGAACAAGTGCCTTACCCTCTGTGTACCCCTGGGGCTTCTTTGATAAAATAGGGATAAAAGTACCAATCTCATGGGTTGCTTATGAGAACTAAATGAGTTAATGGATATAAAAGGTTTGGAATAGTACCTGGCACTTTGACCACCCTCAATTAAAAAAAAATCAAGATGTTTTGGGGGCACCAGAGTGGCTCAGTGGGTTAAGCACCTGCTTTCAGCTCAGGTCATGATCCCAGGGTCCTGGAATGAGCCCTGCATCTGGCTCCCTGCTCAGCAGGGAGTCTGCTGCTCCTTCTGCCCCTCCTCCCACTCATCCTCTTATTCTATCTCAAATAAGTAAATAAAATCTTTCCTTATTTTTTATTTAAAGATGTTTTAAAGCACCATTGATTGCATTGGTTTTGTTCGGGACCCTAGGAACTGCCATCAATGAGTAGCAGAAATTTACCAGATTACTTGGGGCATGGGGCATTATAGAGGATTCACTTTGACATAAGTTCATTGACAACTTCCCATATATATTCTTGGTATTTCGATGGACATGAAGTTGGGTACCACATCAGATAGGATATTGTGTAGATGGATTGAAAGAGGAGGAAATCACTGAGGGAAAAATGAAGGTCTGAAAGTTAAAATGGAAAATTGTGGAGTCCTTACAGGTGTCGGACCTCCATTTCTTAAGGTCTAATTGGATCAAGTATTGAAGGGTTGGAGGAAACACCAGAGATCTGATTGAGAGTGTCAATCTAAATGACAGTAGCCATGGTGGTGGGTGATGGGGCTCCTGAACTAAACAGAAAGTAACCTTTATGTTTATACCATGACAGGTAGCCTGTTGAGAAGGATCTCTGGTGGATATATCCAACCATCCACAAGATGGGGATTCATTCCCAGGAAAGCATATTATTTTGCAAGCTTTGAAGTAAAAATAACATCTTTTCTTTCCAGATCTAAATGTTGAGATATGTTTTCATAGCCGAAGATGGAAAGCAGGCAAAAGTGCCTCAACTCAAAATTGCAGGGTAAGGTGAATTTTCAAATGCAAAATTCTGTAAATAGTTACCCAATTTCCTTTATTTTTTTCTGCATCTGTGTATTGAGTTTATTTATGAATTTATATTTCTTAAATTTCAGTCGAATAGGGATTTAGTTGTAAGGTCCTTTAACTTGTGACCTCTCAGGCTGGCAGTTCATGAGCCACATTTCATAGCATTTGACATCGACTTTTGTAGAGTTTCTCACTGTACCTTTGGCTTTTGGCTTTCTGAAAAATTTTCCATGCAAGTTTTCTGGCACATCTTCCCATTGCTGTGCAGCAGGGCAGAACTCAAGGGTTGGATAAAGATCCCTTCAGGGGGCATCTTAGGAGTAGTTCCAGTGTCATTTTGGGGGTTCTTTAATTCACCACAACTATTTTCTTTTCTTGATTCCAGAAACAGATGTTTTCCCTGTTAGATGAAATTCCCAAATTTTCCATGATCTCTAAGGCCCTCTGTGATCTGGCTCCTACCTGTTCATTCACTATGATTCTAGATGCTGGGGATGGAGAATGAATAAGGTAGACCCTCAAGCAGATTACATTCTAGTGAGGATTGACAACAAATTTGTAAACAAAGATCCACATTCTGCTTCCTCCTCCCCTGTCCCCACCCCAAAGTCTACATTTGGGCTTGGGAAACTGTTCTCAGACATGCCATACCCTCTCACCCCCACCCTTTACTCAGGCTCTGCTTTCTGCCTGGAGCACCACCGTCTATCTGCTCGTGTCCACCGTGGGTGTCTCGGTTCCTCCCAGCAGTTTCCTCAGACCCTGAAGTCTGAGCTGTAGCTCTCCTCCATGATGTCTCCCTGTAGTGCCCATCATAGCACTTTATCAGTGGTTGCAATGATCAGCTGACTTGTGTACCTGCCATGCTGGATGATTTCTGCCTCCGTCAGCCCCCCCCTTTTTTTAAATTAACATATTATTTGTTTCAGGGGTACAGGTCTGTGATTCATCAGTCTTTCACAATTCACAGCGCTCACCATAGCACAGACCCTCCCCAATGTCCATCACCAGTCGCCCCATCCCCCAACCCCCCACCACTCCAGCAACCCTCAGTTTGTTTCCTGAGATTAAGAGTCTCTTACGGTTTGTCTCCCTCTCTGGTTTCTTGTTTCATTTTTCCCTCCCTTCCCCTATGATCCTCTGTCTTGTTTCTCAAATTCCTCATTATCAGTGAGATCATATGATACATGTCTTTCTCCAGTTGACTTATTTCGCTTAGCATAATACCCTCCAGTTCCAACACATCGTTGCAAATGGAAGATTTCATTTTTTTTTTTATGGCCTCCTGCAGCCCTTTAAACTTGACTGAGTGGAAGTAAACTTTCTCCACCCTGGAGTACACTTCATCACACTCATGACTCTTCTGAGTCCTCTGGATCAGGGTCTCAGCTTTCCTGTGCCACAGACTCCTTTGAAGCCCAGGAACCCCTCAGAATAATGTTTCTAATAAAGGAAACCAATGCTACTGAAAGACTATTCCCAAGATATTTTAAAAATTTTGTGATAACATGATATTTGTATTGCTTTATTGGCACAAGATCTGGTGATAGGTCTAATAGGCACCATACTTATGATGTAGTGATGAAAGTAAACTGTATTTCGAGAGGTCTGCACCAATCTAAATTATGAATATCCATGGTTTTGTTGATGGCACAGTCACAGGTGCCAATGATATTACTGCATTTTGTTGCCAGCATTTTATATGAAATGAAAAGCTAAATTTCAGTTAGAGTTTAGTTAGTGAAAATAAACATGTAATTTTTGTCCCAAGTTAGAAATACGGATTTCTACCTATAGTGGCAATGGGCCCATGGCCCCACGTAAGAACCTCTGGCCTTGGATAAGAAGATATATTCAGATGAGAATTCCCATAAAGCAATCAAAACTCCAAGTTTGACTTAGTGGTGTTGGTCTTCTCTCTGCTCCAGCTCAGGCCTGCTTCATCCTGGAAGCCTGGCATGGGAAGAGGGGTTTGGTTGCCCTGGTCTGTCCTGCATCCCTGATGACTACTTACTACTGATACACTCTGAAGGCTCCAGGCAAGGGAAGCATGGTGCTTACACCAGGGATACTGTCTTACGTGTTAGCAAGATAAATCTCACAGAAGAAAAGGGATGCATGTGGCCAGCCATTCTTGACCATCAAGTGTGCTGAAGTTTAAGGATAAAATATGACCCTTGCAGGAATGTGTTGGAGTGCAGCTCCTGCCTCAAAACTGCAGTTCTGAAACTAGCCTGATTTAATGATTCTTCTTATGGCCATGAATACTGGCTGAGGAAGTAAGGAAGGTATAAAGCCCTTAAACCCTCAAAATAAAAGCAAAAATAAAACAAATTGACAGCAAAACTTCCACAAGTTGGCAAAGGGTGCATAAGATTGAGGATAAGATCGGGTTAAAAGTCAGAAATATTGAATGTTTTCTGGGGTGAGAAAGCATATAAATTTTCTCCTCTTTAAAATACCATTAAAACTAGAGTCATATGGATGTTCTTTTAGATAGTTAGACCCGCAAGGACAGAAGACAATTATGACAAAATCGTGAAGCTGCAAAGTAGAAGGGAAACTGGGAACTGAATTAACAACCTAAGGAAGCTGAATTCTAAACCAGCAGTGGGAGAAAGCTGAGAATAATTTAGATTTACATTGTGAATTTCCCAAAAGGCTGAGGAACTAGGGAAGCAGGTACCTCTGTAACTCGTGGGAGGTGGGAAGGTGGTGTGAAAGCAGTTTGAGAAGCAGTTCTATCCTTAAGTATTGTTCTCTCATGCTATGCCACTACTATCCAGACCAAAATCTGGAGATGTATTTTCTGGAGTAAAACAGAGCTGCTAGATTGGGGGATGGATGCCAGACACAGTTGAGTATTGGTACTATTAAAAAAATGAGGGAATTAAGTGACACTACATATTCTGGGTGCTTGGTGCCAAAAGCCAATATTCCCCACTCAGCTTTTAGGACACTGATATCTTTATCTTCCCAAGATTGAAAGACTTTTCCCTGGAGTATGACCAGCCAAGAGGGAAGACTTTAAGATACTGACATCAGACATCCTTCCAGCAAATACAACCCTCCCACATCACCCTACAGTAAAGTTCAAAGTTGGCGAGTCACTCCCCACACTTTCCATCAGGATTTTAGCTCCCCTGAACAACCCAAGGATCACCAGATATTTGTGGCAAGTCTC